ATCTCGAATACAAAATACAAATATATATAAAAATATGTATATACCTATATATACCCAATCAGCAGACACATGTATACATATGCACACATTAAGACATACATACAATGGCTGATATTGCCATTGCGGTGTACATAATGTTCTCATTCCTGCAGTACACTTCAACCATGCGTCCATTGCTCTGTTAAGTCCATGTTGCCGTGTTGGAGGAGCCGGACACTGTAGCTGCACATGACAAATAAAAAACCTTTGAATTGGAATATGCTACGGTACTTTTAGATAAGTAGACTAACACAGGCTAGTCTTCTTTGAAAGACGACTTTAATGAAGTGTTTCTCTGTTCCATCAGAGCGGATGGTTCTCATCCGTCCGAAGCCACTTCAAGCCTCAGAGTCAGACTGGGTGAACCGGCAGGACTCGAGATGTTTCTCCACATGTGGAATCTGGCAGAGTGAGTTACAGTCAGTCTGTGGGGGGTTGCACTCAGTGGCACTGTTTAAAGAGTGACTGCAGCACTGTTTAAAGAGTGACTGCATGACTTTTTAAAGAGGCTGCATCACTGTTTAAAGAGGCTGCATCACTGTTTAAAGAGTGACTGCATCACTGTTTAAAGAGTGACTGTATCACTGTTTAAAGACAGGTGCAGGACTTTTTAAAGAGGCTGCAGGACTTTTTAAAGAGGCTGCAGGACTGTTTAAAGAGGCTGCAGGACTGTTTAAAGAGAGGCTGCAGGACTGTTTAAAGACAGGCTGCAGGACTGTTTAAAGAGGCTGCAGCACTGTTTAAAGACAAGCTGCATGACTGTTTAAAGACAAGCTGCAGGACTGTTTAAAGACAAGCTGCAGGACTGTTTAAAGACAGGCTGTATGACTGTTTAAAGACAGGCTGTAGGACTGTTTAAAGAGGCTGCAGCTCTGTTTAAAGAGGCTGCAGCACTGTTTAAAGAGTCCCTGCAGCTCTGTTTAAAGAGTCACTGCAGGACTGTTTAAAGAGACGCTGCAGCACTTTTTAAAGACGCTGCAACACTGTTTAAAGACAGGCTGCAGGACTGTTTAAAGTTAAGCTGAAACACTGTTTAAAGAGTCACTGCAGGACTGTTTAAAGAGACGCTGCAGCACTGTTTAAAGACAAGCTGCAGGACTGTTTAAAGAGACGCTGAAGGACTGTTTAAAGAGACGCTGCAGGACTGTTTAAAGAGAGGCTGCAGGACTTTTTAAAGAGGCTGCAGGACTTTTTAAAGAGGCTGCAGGACTGTTTAAAGAGGCTGCAGGACTGTTTAAAGAGAGGCTGCAGGACTGTTTAAAGACAGGCTGCAGGACTGTTTAAAGAGGCTGCAGCACTGTTTAAAGACAAGCTGCATGACTGTTTAAAGACAAGCTGCAGGACTGTTTAAAGACAAGCTGCAGGACTGTTTAAAGACAGGCTGTATGACTGTTTAAAGACAGGCTGTAGGACTGTTTAAAGAGGCTGCAGCTCTGTTTAAAGAGGCTGCAGCACTGTTTAAAGAGTCCCTGCAGCTCTGTTTAAAGAGTCACTGCAGGACTGTTTAAAGAGACGCTGCAGCACTTTTTAAAGACGCTGCAGGACTGTTTAAAGTTAAGCTGAAACACTGTTTAAAGAGTCACTGCAGGACTGTTTAAAGAGACGCTGCAGCACTGTTTAAAGACAAGCTGCAGGACTGTTTAAAGAGACGCTGCAGGACTGTTTAAAGAGACGCTGCGGGACAGTTTAAAGAGAGGCTGCAGGACTGTTTAAAGAGAGGCTGCAGGACTGTTTAAAGAGAGGCTGCAGGACTGTTTAAAGAGAGGCTGCAGGACTGTTTAAAGAGAGGCTGCAGGACTGTTTAAAGAGACGCTGCAGCACTTTTTAAAGACGCTGCAACACTGTTTAAAGACAGGCTGCAGGACTGTTTAAAGTTAAGCTGAAACACTGTTTAAAGAGTCACTGCAGGACTGTTTAAAGAGACGCTGCAGCACTGTTTAAAGACAAGCTGCAGGACTGTTTAAAGAGACGCTGCAGGACTGTTTAAAGAGACGCTGCGGGACAGTTTAAAGAGAGGCTGCAGGACTGTTTAAAGAGAGGCTGCAGGACTGTTTAAAGAGAGGCTGCAGGACTGTTTAAAGAGAGGCTGCAGGACTGTTTAAAGTTAAGCTGAAGCACTGTTTAAAGAGACGCTGCAGGACTGTTTAAAGAGTCACTGCAGGACTGTTTAAAGAGACGCTGCAGCACTCTTTAAAGAGACGCTGCAGGACTGTTTAAAGAGACGCTGCAGGACTGTTTAAAGAGACGCTGCAGGACTGTTTAAAGAGACGCTGCAGCACTCTTTAAAGAGACGCTGCAGGACTGTTTAAAGAGACGCTGCAGGACTGTTTAAAGAGACGCTGCAGCACTCTTTAAAGACAGGCTGCAGCACTGTTTAAAGACCCACATCAACATGTATCCAATAACTGGAATCAAACGTATGAATTTTGTCCCGACTTTAATATATTCTTGTCACTAACTTACAAAGCAAGGTGCAAGCTAGCAAATATAAAGTGATGCCAGCAGCTGCCATAACACATGACGTTGATTCTGAACACGTCTCTCCTCTTGGCTTTTGAGTTTGAGTCACAGGAGTTGCAAATCACTATGAGGTCATCTCAGCTTCTCCAGCCTCGGTCTCAAGACTGTGAATGAAACCTGGTCTGTGCCGGAAGAACATTGATCACCTAACTATCGTAGGAATTGATCTTAAGTCTCAGTACGGCTGTCATTCATCACACCTTTAATACTAAAGACTGGCAACCTTCTGTTCTCTTTCGAGCGGCAGGCGGATGATCCCACTGGAGTTACCGGTTATAATTAGCATGTGTTATGTCCCTTTTGTTTCCTGCTCCTCTGTATACATGACATTGCTTTTTCTGTGTAACTTGGTCACCATCTACTGGTGCAGGACCTCTGGCCTTTCCAGCTGGAAATACATTGATGCTATAACTCTTTGTTAAACAACACAACTTTGGTTTAAGCTTGTATATTAGTTCTTTTCTTAACAGAAGGTGATGAGGTGAGGAATTTCCACCACACTAAACAGCAGATAGATAGACTCACGTGGTTTGCTGGTGGAGGAAAGCGTTTTTGTGCAGCCTGTAGGCCGTGTAGCTGTTGAAGGATCCCGGCTCCATGGAAACACCGGGAACTGAACCGTACATCTTCTCCGTCAGGTTGAACGCCTCCAGCATCCTGAAGCCTGCACACAACAACGAGAAAAGTCAGAGGACACTTTTAAAAAAGATATCAGGTTTTCTGCTTTGATGAATGTCCCGATACAGGAAATATCCCCTCATCTGTGGCTGCCAGAGAACTCACAGCTTCTGAGTTTATTTACATTTTTTAACCAGATGTCCCTGTTTACTCTCCCTCATGCATTCAAATATAATCTAATCTAATATACGTCATGTGTGCACTCACCAGGGGAAGTGAATCCATTCAGGTAAATCAGGGGACACGCTGTGGAACAACAAAAGCCAGACATTTAAGACAATTTACCACAAACACTTTAAAAACTGTTTCCAGGGTATTTTGTGAGAGTAAACGTTGTGCAAACTCACATGACGTTGCAGTTTCACAGATGAAGGTAATCAGGTTTTCCCTGATGGTGTCGAAGGCATCGAAGTCGTCCACCACGAAGACGTGTCTGTCGCTCGGTTTGCTGCCGATCTCCTGCAGCTCCACGAAGTCCACGTCCGCAACACCGATGGCGAACACACTGTAACCTGCAGAGAGGAAGAGGAAGAAGAAGAGTATCATGAATAACAGAGTGGTTTGCACGTTAAGAGGGTGGACGAATGTTGGATCCTCTCAGCTGTTCAGAGAGGGCAAAAGTGCACACATCCTTTACTCAAGTAGAAGTTCAGATACTCATGTTTAAAAGTACTCAGTGAAAGTAGAAGTACTGACTAAACTTCTTTACTCAAGTAAAAGTAAAGAACTTTGAAATGTACTTCAGTAAAAAGTCCCCATAACTAGCAGCTGCTTTAAAGAGTACCTGACCTCCCTTTATATTTAATAGAACAATAATGTCATTGTTAGCTAATGAATGTTTCCATGCTGAACAACGGCAACATGACAACGTTTTCCATTGGTCCCCTTCTTCTTTAGAGAAGACCAGGAAATGATGGATACACGGATCGTGTTCAATCAATAGGCACGCAATGACTCTAAAGCATAATGATCACGCATCAAACACACATTCAGACTAAGGAACCAGCTGTTTGGAGAATGAGAGAAGTAGAAAGTACAAGTATTTGAGTTCAAACATGTAAGAAGTAGAAAGTACAGGTATTTGAGTTCAAATGTAAGAAGTAGAAAGTACAGGTATTGATGTTCAACATGTAAGAAGTAGAAAGTACAGGTATTTGAGTTCAACATGTAAGAATGGCAGAAGTACAGGTATTTGAGTTCAACATGTGAGAAGTAGAAAGTACAGGTATTTGAGTTCAACATGTAGAAGTAGAAAGTAACAGGTATTTGAGTTCAACATGTTAAGAAGTAGAAAGTACAGGTATTTGAGTTCAACATGTGAGAAGTAGAAAGTACAGGTATTTGAGTTCAACATGTAAGAAGTAGAAAGTACAGGTATTTGAGTTCAACATGTAAGAAGTAGAAAGTACAGGTATTTGAGTTCAACATGTAAGAAGTAGAAAGTACAGGTATTTGAGTTCAACATGTAAGAAGTAGAAAGTACAGGTATTTGAGTTTCAACATGTAAGAAGTAGAAAGTACAGTATTTTGAGTTCAACATGTGAAGAAGTAGAAAGTACAGGTATTTGAGTTCAACATGTAAGAAGTAGAAAGTACAGGTATTTGAGTTCAACATGTAAGAAGTAGAAAGTACAGGTATTTGAGTTCAACATGTAAGAAGTAGAAAGTAACAGGTATTTGAGTTCAACATGTAAGAAGTAGAAAGTACAGGTATTTGAGTTCAACATGTAGAAGTAGAAAGTACAGGTATTTGAGTTCAACATGTAAGAAGCTAGAAAGTACAGGTATTTGAGTTCAACATGTGAGAAGTAGAAAGTACAGGTATTTGTGTTCAACATGTGAGAAGTAGAAAGTACAGGTATTTGAGTTCAACATGTAAGAAGTAGAAAGTACAGGTATTTGAGTTCAACATGTAAGAAGTAGAAAGTACAGGTATTTGAGTTCCAACATGTAAGAAGTAGAAAGTTCAGGTATTTGAGTTCAACATGTAAGAAGTAGAAAGTACAGGTATTTGAGTTCAACATGTAAGAAGTAGAAAGTACAGGTATTTGAGTTCAACATGTGAGAAGTAGAAAGTACAGGTATTTGTGTTCAACATGTAAGAAGTAGAAAGTACAGGTATTTGTGTTCAACATGTAAGAAGTAGAAAGTACAGGTATTTGAGTTCAACATGTGAGAAGTAGAAAGTACAGGTATTTGTGTTCAACATGAGAGAAGTAGAAAGTACAGGTATTTGGTTCAACATGTAAGAAGTAGAAAGTACAGGTATTTGAGTTCAACATGTGAGAAGTAGAAAGTACAGGTATTTGTGTTCAACATGAGAGAAGTAGAAAGTACAGGTATTTGAGTTCAACATGTAAGAAGTAGAAAGTACAGGTATTTGAGTTCAACATGTAAGAAGTAGAAAGTACAGGTATTTGGGTTCAACATGTAAGAAGTAGAAAGTACAGGTATTTGTGTTCAACATGTAAGAAGTAGAAAGTACAGGTATTTGAGTTCAACATGTAAGAAGTAGAAAGTACAGGTATTTGAGTTCAACATGTGAGAAGTAGAAAGTACAGGTATTTGAGTTCAACATGTGAGAAGTAGAAAGTACAGGTATTTGAGTTCAACATGTAAGAAGTAGAAAGTACAGGTATTTGAGTTCAACATGTGAGAAGTAGAAAGTACAGGTATTTGTGTTCAACATGTGAGAAGTAGAAAGTACAGGTATTTGAGTTCAACATGTAAGAAGTAGAAAGTACAGGTATTTGAGTTCAACATGTGAGAAGTAGAAAGTACAGGTATTTGAGTTCAACATGTAAGAAGTAGAAAGTACAGGTATTTGAGTTCAACATGTGAGAAGTAGAAAGTACAGGTATTTGTGTTCAAAGTGTAAGAAGTCAAAGTAAAAGTCATCAGAAAAATAAGTAGTGGAGTAAAGTACTGATACCAGAAACATGTACTTAAGTACAGTAACTAAGTATTTGTACTCCACTACTTCCCATCCCTCAGTTGTTTACCTGCGTGCTGCAGCTTGGCGGCGCTCTTCTTCACTTCGTCCTGAGAGCGTCCGTCAGTGATGGTCACCACCACTTTCGGGACGTTCCTCCTCATCCCGTTCTCCATGGAGAAGGCTTTCTCATAGGTGTGTTTCAGAGCCATGCCTGTTGAAGGAACAGAGGAAAACTGAGTCAGAAAAACATCTAATTACAGTGTTTGTCTCTGATCTCAGGTGTGTGAGCGCACTATTTCTATTTTATTTGTATTTACTTGCACATCTCCAAACATTCTCTTGCACTATTGTATCTGTTTTATTTGTTTTATGTCCTATATATATGATATGTCTACACTGTAGTTTCTGTACACATGATGATAAAGCCTTGAATCTTGAAACCTGTCTTGGTGTTTCCTCCTTGGTAGTGGATCTGATTAATAGCCGACATGGCGATGCCTTTGTCTCTGTAAGCATTCAGCCTGAACTCCGTCTTCGCCTCGTCGCTGTACTGCACAAAGGACACCTGAGAGGAGGAGTCACAGGAAGTCAGGACACATACAGTCAGATATACACAAGTGGAGTTATTAAGAACTACAAGTCCCACGTTAAGACAGGACAGTGGAAAGAGGACCCATTAGCATTTTTGGCATTTGGACTTCCCGTATTGTACATTTATTATCTTTTTAATCTAAACACTTATTGCTCATCTGTCCGTCCTGTGAGAGGGATCCTCTTCTGTTACTCTCCACGAAGTTTACAGCTTTTTTCCCCGTTAATTGTGTGGTTTCTTTGTTTCTTTTTTTAATAATGAGCTAGATAAATAACATTTGATTTGATCTGTCTTGCTTTTCGAAGAACTACAAGTCCCACGTTAGGAAAGGACAGTTGAAGTAGACGTCCAACAGAAAGAACTACAAGTCCCACGTTAAGAAAGGACAGTTGAAGTAGACGTCCAACAGAAAGAACTACAAGTCCCACGTTAAGAAAGGACAGTTGAAGTAGACGTCCAACAGAAAGAACTACAAGTCCCACATTAAGAAAGGACAGTTGAAGTAGACGTCCAAAAGAAAGAACTACAAGTCCCACATTAAGAAAGGACAGTTGAAGTAGACGTCCAACAGAAAGAACTACAAGTCCCACGTTAAGAAAGGACAGTTGAAGTAGACGTCCAAAAGAAAGAACTACAAGTCCCACGTTAAGAAAGGACAGTTGAAGTAGACGTCCAAAAGAAAGAACTACAAGTCCCACGTTAAGAAAGGACAGTTGAAGTAGACGTCCAACAGAAAGAACTACAAGTCCCACGTTAAGAAAGGACAGTTGAAGTAGACGTCCAACAGAAAGAACTACAAGTCCCACGTTAAGAAAGGACAGTTGAAGTAGACGTCCAACAGAAAGAACTACAAGTCCCACATTAAGAAAGGACAGTTGAAGTAGACGTCCAAAAGAAAGAACTACAAGTCCCACATTAAGAAAGGACAGTTGAAGTAGACGTCCAACAGAAAGAACTACAAGTCCCACGTTAAGAAAGGACAGTTGAAGTAGACGTCAAAAAGAAAGAACTACAAGTCCCACGTTAAGAAAGGACAGTTGAAGTAGACGTCCAAAAGAAAGAACTACAAGTCCCACGTTAAAGAAAGGACAGTTGAAGTAGACGTCCAAAAGAAAGAACTACAAGTCCCACGTTAAGAAAGGACAGTTGAAGTAGACGTCTAAAAGAAAGAACTACAAGTCCCACGTTAAGAAAGGACAGTTGAAGTAGACGTCCAAAAGAAAGAACTACAAGTCCCACGTTAAGAAAGGACAGTTGAAGTAGACGTCCAAAAGAAAGAACTACAAGTCCCACGTTAAGAAAGGACAGTTGAAGTAGACGTCTAAAAGAAAGAACTACAAGTCCCACATTAAGAAAGGACAGTTGAAGTAGACGTCCAACAGAAAGAACTACAAGTCCCACGTTAAGAAAGGACAGTTGAAGTAGACGTCTAAAAGAAAGAACTACAAGTCCCACATTAAGAAAGGACAGTTGAAGTAGACGTCCAACAGAAAGAACTACAAGTCCCACGTTAAGAAAGGACAGTTGAAGTAGACGTCTAAAAGAAAGAACTACAAGTCCCACGTTAAGAAAGGACAGTTGAAGTAGACGTCTAAAAGAAAGAACTACAAGTCCCACGTTAAGAAAGGACAGTTGAAGTAGACGTCAAAAAGAAAGAACTACAAGTCCCACGTTAAGAAAGGACAGTTGAAGTAGACGTCCAAAAGAAAGAACTACAAGTCCCACGTTAAGAAAGGACAGTTGAAGTAGACGTCCAAAAGAAAGAACTACAAGTCCCACGTTAAGAAAGGACAGTTGAAGTAGACGTCCAAAAGAAAGAACTACAAGTCCCACGTTAAGAAAGGACAGTTGAAGTAGACGTCCAAAAGAAAGAACTACAAGTCCCACGTTAAGAAAGGACAGTTGAAGTAGACGTCTAAAAGAAAGAACTACAAGTCCCACGTTAAGAAAGGACAGTTGAAGTAGACGTCCAAAAGAAAGAACTACAAGTCCCACGTTAAGAAAGGACAGTTGAAGTAGACGTCTAAAAGAAAGAACTACAAGTCCCACGTTAAGAAAGGACAGTTGAAGTAGATGTCCAAAAGAAAGAACTACAAGTCCCACGTTAAGAAAGGACAGTTGAAGTAGATGTCCAAAAGAAAGAACTACAAGTCCCACATTAAGAAAGGACAGTTGAAGTAGATGTCCAAAAGAAAGAACTACAAGTCCCACGTTAAGAAAGGACAGTTGAAGTAGATGTCCAAAAGAAAGAACTACAAGTCCCACGTTAAGAAAGGACAGTTGAAGTAGACGTCCAAAAGAAAGAACTACAAGTCCCACGTTAAGAAAGGACAGTTGAAGTAGACGTCCAAAGAAAGAACTACAAGTCCCACGTTAAGAAAGGACAGTTGAAGTAGACGTCCAAAGAAAGAACTACAAGTCCCACGTTAAGAAAGGACAGTTGAAGTAGACGTCCAAAAGAAAGAACTACAAGTCCCACGTTAAGAAAGGACAGTTGAAGTAGACGTCCAACAGAAAGAACTACAAGTCCCACATTAAGAAAGGACAGTTGAAGTAGACGTCTAAAAGAAAGAACTACAAGTCCCACGTTAAGAAAGGACAGTTGAAGTAGACGTCCAAAGAAAGAACTACAAGTCCCACGTTAAGAAGGACAGTTGAAGTAGACGTCCAAAAGAAAGAACTACAAGTCCCACGTTAAGAAAGGACAGTTGAAGTAGACGTCCAAAAGAAAGAACTACAAGTCCCACGTTAAGAAAGGACAGTTGAAGTAGACGTCCAAAGAAAGAACTACAAGTCCCACGTTAAGAAAGGACAGTTGAAGTAGACGTCCAAAAGAAAGAACTACAAGTCCCACGTTAAGAAAGGACAGTTGAAGTAGACGTCCAAAAGAAAGAACTACAAGTCCCACGTTAAGAAAGGACAGTTGAAGTAGACGTCCAAAAGAAAGAACTACAAGTCCCACGTTAAGAAAGGACAGTTGAAGTAGACGTCCAAAAGAAAGAACTACAAGTCCCACGTTAAGAAAGGACAGTTGAAGTAGACGTCTAAAAGAAAGAACTACAAGTCCCACGTTAAGAAAGGACAGTTGTTCTCCCTGAAGTTTACAGCGTTTTTCCCGTTAATTGTATGGTTTCTTTGGGATTTCTTGTAATATTGGGCTTTATAAATACAATTTGATTTGATCTGTCTTGTTATTAGCTGAAAACACAGACCTGCATCCCTGAGGGTCCGACCATATCGAAGGCAGAGACCATGCCGGAGACAAAGTGCACGACTTTCCGGAAGCTCTCTTCTCCGATGCTCCACGATCCATCGATGAGGAACACCACATCTGCTTTGGCCCCTTTGCAAACTGAGGCGAGAACAAAACAAGTCGATGAGGATCTTCAAACACACACACACACACACACACACACACACAAACACACACACACACACACACACACACACACACACACTGGCAGAGAGATTGGCATCCTCACATGGCATCATTATTGTTTGCGAGCTGCAGAGCGTTAAAAATAATCCGCTGAAAGCATGCAACGCAACATGTGATTGAGGAAAACGACGGGGATGGGGGTCATGTTTAGTAATTAGGGGCTTCTCTGATAAAAATATAAAACCACTGGGGATCAAAACAAGCCACATTTGGCCACCAGAAGGTAAAGTCGTTAATGGATTCCTCTCAGACGGATTGGGTAAAAGGCTGTGATTAATCTGTGCCTCATGTGGCGCTGCACAGTAATCTCCTTTATCTTCTTCCTCGGGGACGGACATTTGTCTATAAGTTTTACACATAAGCAAGACTCAAACAGGTTCTCTGGACGGGTCTATCCTCCGTTTAACAGTGTGGGTTCTCCCTGTAAACACGTGGCAGGGATTCATTCACCGCTGGCATGAATCTGGTCCAGAACGAGACAGCGTTCAAACCGTCGACTCGGCCAAAACGCTGCAACGAGGAGTTTCTAATCGAATGCAGAGACTAGATCTGTCCAGTTCTGAAGAGGATTCAGAGTTTCCTCAAGGACTCGTTGGCATTTTACTCAAGTATTTGACTTAGTTGCACTCCACTAGTTCTACTTGACTACCTTTCAGAGGCAAATCATGCTTTTAATCCACTATTTAACACTCATAGTGACTAGGTACTGTGTGCTTATACAAACACATGCTATTCTGATATGGTATATTGCAGTACTTCTCATCTACACAGTATTTAAAGTATCTACATTTGCTCCACTTCGACAAACGACCGTACTAAAAGGCCCTTACATGTATACAAACAGGCTCATTGAACCATGAATGTTGTTTATTATTCAAAGAAAGTGTAATGATGTCTGATAAAAGGATTATTACTAAGACCCTTACCTTACCTTGCTAGTGGGAAGGGGTTTAGGGAAGTATTTAATCTCCTAAGTATTTAAATCTGATGACGAAAATTGTTGTTTTTTTAACAAAAACTTGACCTAAGAAGTAAGAGTTTCCTTCGATTACATCAGGACTAAATGCACAGACTTCTAGTCAACTTTGACAAAGGAATTAGACCAGATCAAATTATATTCTCACCTGCCCATGCGGGGGGGATGGTGGGAGGAGGGGAAGGTGTTGGTGGGAGCGTTGGAGCTGGAGTGGGCTTCACCACTGCAGGAAAAAATAACATTTACACCAACATACGTGAGATAAATACAGAACAACAGTAAACAGTGTGTGGGGGTGAAGTCATTGTTTGGATGTGAGGGGGGGGGTAACTTCATATCACACACACACACACATCAAATGTCATGTCCATGACGTATTAACTGCGATCAGGTTTGTCTTTTAAAAGTTTAGCGTGGTTTTAGTGTCTGTTTTTCTATCAGAGACGTAGAGGCTGCAGGTTAATGTTCAATTAAGCCTCTTATTGCAGAAATATATCATATCTTTTTTTATATAATAAGAAAGAATAACAGCAAAAGTACAATGAAGTAAAAATAATTAGCAATATGTGTGCATTTTATATTAAAACATATCAATCTTACCCATTTCTGATTGTTACAATGCATTGAAACACGTCTTGTTGGTGTCAATACGTTTGATTTAAGAAGTATAACGTAGTGGAAAATGGAAATACTCAAGTACCTCAAAATTGTATTTAAATTAACTAGAGTACCTTAATTACTTTCCACCACTGCTTATCCTACAATTTGTATTTTATTATTACATTGTTGGAGGACCTCAGGTCAGAATAATTTCGTTGCCATTTCTACTCTGTAGCTGCTGAGCATCTGACAATACAACCTTTGAATCTTTGAATCTTGAATCTTTGGCAGACTGATGGTTAACTAAAGCCTTTCTTTGAAGGTTCTTTGAGAAATGTCTGTAGATTAGATTAAAAAAAAAACCTGAATCTTAGGAGTAAAACTTCAGTTTCACACTCACATGTCCTCTCCTTGGCGCTGACCCCAGGACCCTCCAGATTTGGGGTCTGCACGAAGACGGTGGCGGTGTAGAGAGCGTCGGGAGAGAGACCGTCGAAACAGTGCTGAGGAAGACCGGCTCGGATGGTGATCTCATGCTGACCCTTACTGGAGGCTGCAGAGGGAAGGAGACATATTTATTATCAGAGGAATCAGAATTAAAACACATGATCGTTCTGAAAGAAAATACACATTGAATCAATGCTTCGCCTGCTCTAAGGGATTCCAATACCGCTTTGTTGTGTTGGTACTACTGGTTGCTTTTACTTTGCACTGCTTTATCAACCTTTACTTACCAAATAAACTGTTTCTAACCTTTAATATGAAATACTCTTAACACTTTTTCAGGTTAGAAACGTACCATTTATATAACTAATACAAGTTTATCCAAATAACACTTATTAGGGAATTACAACTGGGAGAAGCTGCTGGCTAAAAGAAAAAAGCACTAATCCGCACTGCATGTTTAACCTTAGGGTAGTCGTTTGAATCATGAGAGCCACCAATTTGGCAAAAACTACAAGCTAACTAGCTTAAAATGGCTAGCTAGCTTGTTAGCTAGGTAGTTGTATATATGTGCCAGATTTGCTCCAGTTTGTGACTCTTACAACCTCAGACCCAGTGCCTGGATACGGGTCCAGGTTCCTGCCGTGACTGAGGCTGGGAAAAGGAGTCTTTTTCATTACGGTCCTTGGTCTTGGAACGACCTTCAATCAAGCCTCAAACTGACGGCACTTGTCCCTATAGCATTTTTTAAATTGAAGTTGTCTGAAGTCCTTACCACCAGCTGCTCTTGCAGTAATAAGTAGTGCACCTTTCTTACTGTCCTAATGTGCTCAATGTAGTGACTGCTTTTGTTTACTTTTACATTACATTACATTTAGCTGGCGCTTTTATCCAAAGTGACTTACAATAAGTACATTCGACCAGGAAGACACAACCTTGAAGAAAACAGAATCATAAAGTACATCAGGTTTCATAGAGCCAAACATTTCAAGTGCTACTCAACTGGCTTTAGGTAAGCCAGTCCTTTATTAGTATAAAAGTGCTTTGTTAATAGTTCTAACGCTCGAAGTGGAGTCGAAAGAGATGAGTTTTCAGTCTGGAAGGTGTGTAAGCTATCTGCTGTCCTGATGTCAATGGGGAGCTCATTCCACCATCTTGGAGCCAGGACAGCAAACCCACGTGTTTTCGCCGATGGGAACTTGGGTCCCCTTCGCAGCGAGGGCGCAACGAGTCGTTTGGCTGATGCAGAGCGTAGTGCACGCGCTGGGGTGTACGGTTTTAACCATGTCCTGGATGTAGGAAGGGCCAGATCCATTCACAGCATGGTACGCAAGTACCAGTGTCTTGAAGTGGATTCTAGTAGCTACTTAGTTGTGTTCTCTGTATTTTTTATGTTCGTGTTATGTGTAACGTTGCTGCCTTCTTGGCCAGGTCAGCATTGAAAATGAGATTGTATCTCAATGCTTTTTATCTGGTTAAATAAAAAATAAAAAGTTAACGTAAGCTATAGTTTGTTGAGTGGTCGTTTGCTAGCTGGCTTTTTAGAAATAAAGCTTACTTTTGCTAGTTAGCTTGTTATATACATAGCGGACATTTGCTAGTTAGCAAGATAAATGAAAGCTTTAGCGCAAGTTCAATAAGGAAGACCTAACTCGAGTCACTCACACGTCACTCTATGGCTCCCTTCCCCCCTCATTAAATATGAGGGCGTCACGCCTCAGCAGCCAATCGCTGCACATGCTAAATGCCTTAAATGCCTGCTCTTCCTCCCTGTCAGTTGTCATTGCAGATGATCACACGCAACCCGCCTCCACCCCTCTCGCCTCCTGTCTCCTTCAGGACAAAGCTAAACCTTCCTCCTTCAGACCGGTCTCACCTACTCATCACCACCACCAGTGTCTAGACCCCGGGGATTTCATCGGAGCGGTGCTTTCCCTCCTGAATGATTATCCTGCAAACCGGGGCCTAATCGCCAAACACCATTACATTCTCCTGTTGTATTATCATGGCAATCATTTCATTCATATGACGTGTAAACAATAAATATGTAATTTTTACATCACGTCTCTCCGGTTTGAACTAACGTTCTCTAGCTAAATAGCACACTGACAGTTTCACTGAATTCAGTCCCTAGGTTAGCTTTTATAAATGTATATATGTTTGCTTATTTTAGGGGATAGGCTATACAGATAGTTCGCCTCCTACTAGATTACTGCAGTTGACTTTCAAACTGTTGATTTGGTATTGAATTCAAAGACACACGTGTTTTAAGACCTAAACTAGTTACATTGGATCATGGATCATTTTCATGGGACTTATTCATCAGCTCGATTAAACTCAAAGGGAAAATATACTCAGTGGGGAAAGAGAAAAGGACATTTTGAGGCAGACAAGAAGCAGACTTCTCTTAGATTGCTGACAAGTCTCAGCTCCAGACTTGTAAATCGCACCCAGCAGGTTTTAAACTCTTTTTCAGCTCTGAATCACCATTGAAGATGGGTGGTGAAAATGAAGATGTTTATTCATGATATGTGTCTCCAGGGGTGTCATTAATGATAATTACCAATGACTCAAGGATTACTTCCCCAGGTGCTAACATTTCAGCCTCTTAAAGCCAACATCTGGATCTAAATGTTGGCAGCTTCAGGCGGTTTCTCAGCTTTTCGGCTCCATTTGAGTCCGATTAATGTAGTGAGGATTCATTCTTAGTTTGTTTCAGCAATGTGGCATCTTTGGAGCTACCTATAAGAGCCCAGACAACTTTCGATATTATAAGTTAGATTTGAGTTTCACTTTCACTCAAAATCCTTCTCGACTGTTTACTCGTTGTTTTGTATTATTTATTTATGATTGTTGTGAAACGTTTGGTATCCACTGCGATAAATGACATCTAATTAGATTTAATTCTGATTATAAAATAGGCACAGCCTTTGAGTTTATGACTTCATCTTTTGTTGCTTTTAGTTTTTATTTGTCTTAAACACTTTTCCAATTCTTATTTTGAAAAATGCTCCAGAATAAATTAAAGTTACATAAAAAGTCATTTCAGTCGTGTCTCATTTGTCTGCATTTTGTATGTATTAGTTGCATCAGAGTTGCCGTGTCTTCTGTTTGGTTGCTAACGGAGGTAAATAAACGATTAGAAAATGCTGCTTAAATTCTACTCAGTGAAGAAGAAACACAACAACTGGCCTTCTCTGTGAACTGTTTACATCTCTGCAGGGCGGGGAGTGATATATTGATAATTAGGTTTCCTATTTACACAGTAAGCACAAACAAACAAAGTGTGTTTACGTGATGATCGCTGCTTTTTCAGTGTTTTCCGACCTCAAATGTCCTCACTGTGTTAAATGACAGCGGCTCTGGTGATGCAACTCTTGGAGAATGAGCTCTGTAATATCAACAAGTTATGATGGTGGACACCTAGTATAAATTGTTCTGAGAAAAACATTCCTCCCGGTCAGATCGACTCCAAAACAGTGGCCCTCGTTTATCAAGATAGACAAAATATAATCCGGAGATATTTCAGCTGGGAATTAGATCATGCTTAAAGAACTGGCAGCCACATGCTCTCCTTCTAACCGCTGTTTCCATGGCTTTAAATACGCAGGAAATATCTGCTTTTTCCACGTCTCACCACCGTCTGTTTGCATTTCCACTTGAGGACAAACACTGTGTGATTTGTTGACGAGAGGGAGGACTTCTGATCTTCTGCTAGCGGTTATCGTCTGTCTCACGCTATAGCAGACACGTATTTACTCTGGCAGCCCGTCACAGAGGCCCTAACGTCTAATAACTACCATAAAGATGTTTAAATACAGATGCTGCCTCGCTGGTTTTTCCTACCGCCAACCGGTGTCCATGTGAGAATATGAAGCAGATGGAATCGCCGTAATTTAAAAGGATGTAATCATTAGAAAGAGACACAATTAAAGCTCTTCAAAGCGTCCGACCATCGCCAAAAACCTGCATCCTGCTTTGAGTAATAATCACAATGAGGCTGAAGATAAACAGGACAACACAACGTCTAAAATCTGCATCCTTGGCACAGAGGTGATCTCATCTGGAGATTTGACTCTAAACATCTGCCTGGACTCGTAATGCAAACTTTAAAGCATGCATCGAGTCAAACAAGTCACCTCGGCACGGGCGACTGTGGCTGCGAGGGAGTGTGGTCGTCTTTCAACCAGAAGGTTGTGGGTTCGATCCCAGCCCATGCAGTCAACATGTCGATGTGTCCTTGGGCGAGATACTTAACCCTGAGTTGCTCCCGATGGCCAACGGTGTGTGAATGTTAGGTCCTAGAGTAAGTGGTACTGCTCTGTATGAATGGGTGAATGACATAGTATGTAAAGCTCTTTGAGGGGTCGTAAAGACTGGATAAAGCGTTATATACATGTACATATGTTATATATATGTACAGTCCATTTACCATTTACCTCGGATCAGGATCTGAGAGGAAACCTACACACATGAGTCTGATGTATCTGCAGCAGGTCGAGGTAAAGGCCATCACAGCTATGTTGTTTTATTGTTAAAGGCGGTTGGTAATCACCCTAAAATGCCACAAAACTAGGGCTGTCAAACGATTACAATTTTTAATCAGATTAATCGCAGCTTAAAAATGAATGAATCAGATTAATCACCATTCGAACTATGTCCAAAATATTCCATTTCTTTATGTATATTCTTGTGGGAATGGAAAGATAAATGAAAGAAGGATATATCCATTTCACATACAGTATCTATGTTTATTATAACATTGTTCTGTGTGTCAAAATGAAAGTCAGCCCACACACCTATCAATCATCAAACCGTGGGGTCTTATTTCATTACGTGTTGGTTTCTATCAACACGTAATGTTGTATCGATGTATATAGAGATGTACTACAGCAAAAGTATTCTCCGTCGGGACTTCCTGCAACAACACCACGCCGTTATCTTGATTCTGATTGGCCAGAAGACATTATCAAAGATGTTCTATTGAGAAGACGATCACTACGTGACAAAAGTTTTCAAAACCGTTTCTGGTCTTCGGTATTTCCAGACAAGTGGCTGAAATCAATCTTACTAACTGCTGTCTGTGCAATTTACTCCGCTCGAGTTGGCAGACTTTATTTTGCTTACTTTAACATCATTTTTCATGGTGGGGCTAAGCCATTTCTTGGTATGGGTGTAGCCTACCCCAGCCAGACCCTGGCGCTGCCACTGGTGGCACGTATGGGGCGGGCCATTCTGCACATGCGTTAAATGCGTTAAATATTTGAACGCAATTAATTCAAAAAATGAATTACCGCCGTTAACGCGATAATTTTGACAGCATTACCAAAAACATTTTCTGCTTCCAGTGTCTTCAAATAGAAGGTCTGCAAATGTACTATCTGGAAAAGCAGCACAGTCACATTTGAGCCTTTTATTAGCAAACTGATGAATAGCTGGACGTTGTAGTAGTTAACTTTCCTAAAGGCAATGCTCTGTATTATAAAATAACAGAATATAATGTATATGAAATGTTTGTGTGTGAAGGGTGAGATTGGGGACGACAGATGGAAATGAGCCAATAGCTAAATCCAGAATGAATCATGTTGTCTCTTTTTGAGATGAATATATGGTCCTTGTTTACGAAAGACATAATAATATGACAGCACTTAGCAAGAAGCAAGATATGGTGTGAGATCCAGGAGGAGATGTAGTGTCAAAGATAGCAACAATGATACATGTGACATCAATGGGGGCTACACTTCTCTACCATAAGACATGAACACTGACCGGCTGTTGATATCTCGTGGGCTTATGTTTTGAATCTGTGAGACTCTGCTTAAAACATGGAGTGTTGCTGAACAGATCCAGAGCTATAACCTGGACTTTTGTGAGAAAAAAACAACCAAAACATCCTAAACCTTCAGAAAAGGGAACTCCAAATGGGGCTTACGGTCTGCAGGGTGGAGTTTGATGTGGTGCGAAGTTAATGAGCACATGTGTTCATTAAAACATCACACACATCTCAAGTAGAAACAAAAGCCAATGTAAAAAGATGGGTCTTCAGTTGTTTTCTGAAAGCTTCAACAGGCCCTGGTCTGAAAACCTAAGGGACCTACTGGCGATGTGGACAAGGTCACTATATGTTGCAGCAGCATAAAAAGACAAGGCATTGTACATTAGAGAAATCAAAAGACTAGAAATAAACAATCATAAATGTAATAAAATATATATTAGAAGATAAATATAATCAAAGCAAAGAGAGGGAACTCCAAATGTGTCTTCAGTGTGTGTTCAGTGATATTGGAGGGACTTACGGTCTGAAGGGTGCAGTTTGATGCGGTACGAAGTGGCCGCTCTGTGAGGAGCCCACTTGATGCAGAACTTGTCGTGGTCCACGTCGAACGTCTCAATGTTCGTCACGTTCAGGTACACTGCAGAGCACAGGGAGTCACACTTAATATATCAGAGTATCTATAAGCCACTATTGAGCAGCATATCTGTACGTACGGTCCTGGGCATCAATTCTGTGCAATTTGACCTTTAACATCTCACACACTCTCACACACTCAAATCCAGCGCCAGACACTTTTTACGCTGCTATGGATTTTTCTCAGTTTTGGAAGTGACTGTTATTTTGTTTGATTGTTGTGCTTTTATTTATGTATTAATGTGTGTATATGTTCAAATATGTCAGTTGATTGTGTATATATATAGGTATATATATATATATATATATATATAGGTATATATATTTGTATAGATATTTTTATATATAATAAATACATGTATCCTGATATTGAAGCTCAAGCTGTTGACATTTAAGTATTCAGAAAAATACAGAATTTTGGGAAAAAAGTCAGAATTTTGAGATTTTGAGAAAAAAGTCAGAATTTTGAGATTTAGAGAAAAATGTCAGAATTTTTTAGAGAAAGTAAACATTTGAGGAAAAAGACAGAATTTTGAGATTTTGAGAAAAAAGACAGAATTTTGAGATTTTGAGAAAAAAGTCAGAATTTTTAGATTTTGAGTAAAAAGTCAGAATTTTTAGAGAAAGTAAACATTTGAGGAAAAAGGCTGAATTTTCAGATTTTCAGAAAAAAGCCAACATTTTGAGAACAAACTCAGTATTTTGTACATGACGTATGATTACCTACAAGAACTGGTATTCCTCCATCTTGTGACTGTGTAACTCCCTCACTTGTATATCAGCATGTGAAGGACACTGTTCAGGAACTAGCTGATGCTCTGTATGTGATGACTACTTCCATTCTGGAGAGGATCATAAATACATGGATCCTGAGGTTGAAGCTCAAGCCGGTGACGAGTGAGAGTTTTCTAACAATAACGGTCTATGTTGTTGACTTGTTCTTGACAGTAGGACTTGTTATTGAACCTACGTGTTGTTCCCTGTCCTGGCAGAGGGTCGCTCATGCCTCCGAAGTACTGAGCGACAACCTTCAGGTCGTAGGGGGTGCCAGGCAGCAGGTTGTGCAGAGTGTACGACGTCACGTCACCCACGAAGAAATCCATGGGCGTCGATGTGCCTGGAAAACAGACAAAAAGAGATTAAAACATGCAGGATTTATTCATGAATAATTACCAAACCAAACTCTTCTCATAGTCAAAACAACTACTCCTTTAGCTTAGCGGTGGTGACGTGAAGTCATGTGACCGTGCTGTAGTTCCTTTATAGCCCAACATTAGCCACCTTTAGCTTAGCGGTGGTGACGTGAAGTCATGTGGCCGTGCTGTAGTTCCTTTATAGCCCAACATTAGCCACCTTTAGCTTAGCGGTGGTGACGTGAAGTCATGTGGCCGTGCTGTAGTTCCTTTATAGCCCAACATTAGCCACCTTTAGCTTAGCGGTGGTGACGTGAAGTCATGTGACCGTGCTGTAGTTCCTTTATAGCCCAACATTAGCCACCTTTAGCTTAGCGGTGGTGACGTGAAGTCATGTGACCGTTCTGTAGTTCCTTTATAGCCCAACATTAGCCACCTTTAGCTTAGCGGTGATGACGTGAAGTCATGTGACCGTGCTGTAGTTCCTTTATAACCCAACATTAGCCACCTTTAGCTTAGCGGTGGTGAAGTGAAGTCATGTGACCGTACTGTACTGTAGTTCCTTTATAGCCCAACATTAGCCACCTTTAGCTTAGCGGTGGTGACGTGAAGTCATGTGACCGTGCTGTAGTTCCTTTATAGCCCAACATTAGCCTCCTTTAGCTTAGCAGTGGTGACGTGAAGTCATGTGGCCGTACTGTAGTTCCTTTATAGCCCAACATTAGCCACCTTTAGCTTAGCGGTGGTGACGTGAAGTCATGTGGCCGTACTGTAGTTCCTTTATAGCCCAACATTAGCCACCTTTAGCTTAGCGGTGGTGACGTGAAGTCATGTGACCGTGCTGTAGTTCCTTTATAGCCCAACATTAGCCTCCTTTAGCTTAGCAGTGGTGACGTGAAGTCATGTGGCCGTGCTGTAGTTCCTTTATAGCCCAACATTAGCCACCTTTAGCTTAGCGGTGGTGACGTGAAGTCATGTGGCCGTACTGTAGTTCCTTTATAGCCCAACATTAGCCACCTTTAGCTTAGCGGTGGTGACGTGAAGTCATGTGACCGTGCTGTAGTTCCTTTATAGCCCAACATTAGCCACCTTTAGCTTAGCGGTGGTGACGTGAAGTCATGTGGCCGTACTGTAGTTCCTTTATAGCCCAACATTAGCCACCTTTAGCTTAGCGGTGGTGACGTGAAGTCATGTGACCGTGCTGCAGTTCCTTTATGCCAGATGATCCATCTTTTACAAATACCACAGCAGCTTGAAGACCTTCTTTAATCTGAGATCCAACTAAAAATAAGATGCTTTCAAAAGTCTTAAACAGATACTTAAGATGCATTGTCTAAAAACAAGACCCTATATCTCCCTGCGTTGTTACTTCTTAAGTTATAATATCTTATATCAAGTGTTAAGACATATTCTGAAAGTAGGCAAATATACTTGGCTAGATTTTGTGTGGATGTGTTGTTTGTGATTTATTTCCTCACCTGCAGGATTGTAGGTGATTCTGTATCCCTGAACTGGAGCTTCAACTGGGTCCCAGGCCACTCTGAACCTGGTGTACCACTCATCAGAGACCCTGAGGTTCCTTGGGCTCAACATCCCCACTGAGAGAGAGAAAAGTACACATGTAAACAACAGAATATGTCATTTGTCACATTTTCTTATCTCATCATTTTCCTGTTCTGTGTTTACGTGTGAAAAACAAGTTAAAACATTAAGTTTGTTGCCAGGATATTAAAAAATAAGTAAATTCAACAACAGTCAGAATGACGAAACTCCTGTGTTTGTTTTAGTTGAGGCTGGGGAACCCTGGTAGACTTTAGTTCATGGTTAAAGCTAATGTTTTTTTGTACATATTTATTACCAGAATAGCTATTTTCTTTACTTTAGGATTTAAAATAAACATCAAAACACATTTTAGGCAACTTCAATTGATGCCACCTCGCATAGGTTTAAACTTCATGCATTACGTTTCTGTGCATTAAAAGATAACCTCACGACCTAATGGAGTGTTTCTCTGTGTACCTGCATACACAGAAAGTAACGAATCATTTGAGATGCCTGAAATAATAAAATCTGAAACGACTAAAAACAACAGGTAGGTTTGTCAGCAGAATTGTCGTAAAAAAGAGGATTCTGTGTAATAAATGTGCAGCAGACTCACATGTTCGTCCGTTTCCATTCAGAGACCCCCCAGGGCCCTCTCCGTAAATGGCCTGAACCGTGATGTTATACGGGGTGTCAGCGAGGAGGTTCTGCAGCTGGGCGTTGTTTCTGTTTCCAGGGACCGTCGTCTATGAGAAAAAAACAGAACATTTAAGCGATAAATCCTTCAAAGAAGACTAATTAACAAGGTTGTTTCAGGAAAGACTGATCATGTCTGCCTTTATTTCTCTTCTTTGCAGACAATAGAGAGCTGCAGGAATTAGTCCTAAAACACAGAAATACTAGTCAGCATTTCAGCACTTCCTGTCCTGTGTGTTTTTTGTTAGATGCCTGAAATAAGGTATTTAAAAACAATGGTTGCTAAAAAAGTGTCTAAATGAGGCCAACATTAGCCACCTTTAGCTTAGCGGTGGTGACGTGAAGTCATGTGACCGTGCTGTAGTTTCTTTATAGCCCAACATTAGCCTCCTTTAGCTTAGCGGTGGTGACGTGAAGTCATGTGACCGTGCTGTAGTTCCTTTATAGCCCAACATTAACCACCTTTAGCTTAGCGGTGGTGACGTGAAGTCATGTGACCGTGCTGTAGTTCCTTTATAGCCCAACATTAGCCACCTTTAGCTTAGCGGTGGTGACGTGAAGTCATGTGACCGTGCTGTAGTTCCTTTATAGCCCAACATTAGCCACCTTTAGCTTAGCGGAGGTGACGTGAAGTCATGTGACCGTGCTGTAGTTCCTTTATAGCCGAACATTAGCCTCCTTTAGCTTAGCGGTGGTGACGTGAAGTCATGTGACCGTGCTGTAGTTCCTTTATAGCCCAACATTAGCCTCCTTTAGCTTAGCGGTGGTGACGTGAAGTCATGTGACCATGCTGTAGTTCCTTTATAGCCCAACATTAGCCACCTTTAGCTTAGCGGTGGTGACGTGTGGTCATGTGACCGTGCTGCAGTTCCTTTATAGGCCAACATTAGCCGTCTTTAGCTTAGCGGTGGTGACGTGAAGTCATGTGACCGTGCTGTAGTTCCTTAATAGCCCAACTTGAGATTTTTAGAGCTTACTTACCAAGATAAATCTAACTGTGATGCATACATGCCTCAAAACACAGCTTTCATCAATAACTGAAAGAAACGGTCTGAACCTGGTTTTGATAAAGAGTCTAGGAAGTTGCTAGTGTGATGAAATTGTGACTTTTCTCACAGTTTCACTTTCCAAGTTTTAAAATCTGGTTTCCATCTCTTTTATCAGAGTAATCTCTATCAAACAGGAAGAAATCATGTCGTGTCCTGAAGCAGAAAATTGGAGTAGAGTTGGCTCGAAGAAGCTGTGAACAAACACAAAGCTCCTCTATTAGCCGCAGATGCTAAATCATAATAGTTGCATGCTTTTTTAAATGTCTAAAGGCTCTTCGGTCAGTTTCAGTTTGGAACAATGCTTTCATCGTTGCAGTTTTCTGACTCATGGAGAAACAGGTGCTATGCTAACAAGAGGAGTAGGGGGGGGGGGCAGCTGGACCTCCATTGCCCTCTAACTCGTTATTAAGAACTATTAATTACAGTATTATGGCCCCGATTGTGGTGTTTGTTTAACAGAGCCTGTAATTAGTCTCACTAATCGCTGATGTATAACCCAGAAGAGCCAAAGTTATCGTGAGAGGTGACTTCATCGAATAGTTTGCACGAAGTGTCATCGGGAAGAGTGTATTAAGAGTTTATCCAAAGCATTTATCCAGAATAAAAATGATCTGAAATTATTTTTCTCATTAGTGCTGAAACGAAGGGGATCAAATGGATGAAATTAAACTTTCATCCTGATGCATTCTTGCTTTGTGTCCTAACATAAGTCTGACTGCTGAGTACGTCATTTCTCACATAAGAAATTAAACGACCCGTTCCACCTGGAGTAGATCCACCAGCTACCCTGCAGTATACAAAGTACTTCAAACTAGCTGCACCTTCACCAGCTTTGAGAACACTTTCATGATCAATCATTATAAAACATATATATATATTATTCTGAAATGGACCAATCTGCACAACGACTACTTTTACTGTCGCTACTTTCACTATATTTTGATGAGAATACTTTTATACTTTCACTTGAGTAACATTTTGAATGCAGGACTTTTACTGTAACAGAGTATTCCTACACTCTGGTACTTCTACTTTTACTCAAGTACAAGATCTGAGTACTTCTACTTTTACTCAAGAACAATATCTGAGTACTTCTACTTTTACTCAAGTACAAGATCTGAGTACTTCTACTTTTACTCAAGTACAAGATCTGAGTACTTCTACTTTTACTTAAGTACAAGATCTGAGTACTTCTACTTTTACTCAAGTACAAGATCTGAGTACTTCTACTTTTACTCAAGTACAAGATCTGAGTACTTCTAATGTTACTCAAGTACAATATCTGAGTACTTCTACTTTTACTCAAGTACAAGATCTGAGTACTTCTACTTTTACTCAAGTACAAGATCTGAGTACTTCTACTTTTACTCAAGTACAAGATCTGAGTACTTCTACTTTTACTCAAGTACAAGATCTGAGTACTTCTACTGTTAATAAAGTACAAGATCTGAGTACTTCTACTTTTACTCAAGAACAAGATCTGAGTACTTCTACTTTTACTGAAGTATAAGATCTGAGTACTTCTACTTTTACTCAAGTACAAGATCTGAGTACTTCTACTTTTACTCAAGTACAAGATCTGAGTACTTCTAATGTTACTCAAGTACAAGATCTGAGTACTTCTACTTTTACTCAAGTACAAGATCTGAGTACTTCTACTTTTACTCAAGTACAAGACCTGAGTACTTCTAATGTTACTCAAGTACAAGATCTGAGTACTTCTACTTTTACTAAAGTACAATAAGTACTTCTCCAACCTCTGCCTTGCTGTAGTTCCTTTATAGCCCAACATTAGCCACCTTTAGCTTAGCGGTGGTGACGTGAAGTCATGTGACAATTTTGGTTACACAGACAATTGCTATTTGAGATTTTCTGAAGTGTACTCACAAACTCGGTGATGGGGTCTCCGGTCAGCGGGGCGTAGAAGATCTTGTACTGCCTGACGAGACCCTCGGCATGATCCCATCCGATGGTCAGGGTGCTGGTGGTGGCGTCATAAACTCGCATGTTCCTGGGACCACCTCGAGGCACTGCAGCAGCAATAATAATAATAATAATACACTTTATTTGTATAGCACCTTTCATGCACAAAGCAGCCCAAAGTGCTGCAGGTTTTTATATCAATGGATCAGGACAAAAAGTGAGAGAATCTTTTTTCCTGAAACGTTCAGAGTCTCTTTACACAGAGGGGACCAACCCAGTCTCACGGCATTTCGTTTTATAGTCACGAAATGTATTTAATCTATTGATTCATGTTCACCAACACGATTTTTTTCGTATCACACGATTTTAAAAGCAATGACTTTCTATTGGTGGTATGTCTCGTGCCTGCACCACGTCTTTTTTTCCGGTCGGGTCTTGGAAGACCAGGAGCTGTGTGGTTCATATAAACATTTTCTTACTCAATATCTAACCCTAAGCCTAACCCTATCCCTTTTATTTTAAATTGTATAATGTCAGAGTTTTTTTGCCGTCCGCGAGGAAAATAAATCTCAGAGCCTCAGAATACTGACATCTGTATTTGTTATTATTTGGTGCAGGCACGAAACACACTACCAATAGAAATACATTGCTTCTAAAATCGTTCTGTCGGAATACTGAAATCTGTATTTTTTTAAATCTCTTTTTCCTTCTAATTTGTTATTATTTACATTGCTTTTAAAATCGTTCTGTGTGACACGAAAAAAATGCGAAAATCGTGTTTCAATAGATTAATTTCGTGACTATAACACGCATGCGGTGAGACTGTATTGAGGGGACACATGTTGATGTATAAAAGACATGAAGAAGTGGATTTTGCATAATAGGTGACCTTTAAAGGATTGACTCGTACAGTACGTATACATGCATATGACTCAGTGTGGATGTTAACAATAATCCGCATGAGTCAGATTGTACTCACGTGTTTTGCCGTTGCCTCTGACTGGAGATCCCTCTCCGTCAGCGTACAGAGCGGAGACGTTGACAGAGTAAGGAGTGTCTGGGATCAGGTTATCCAGGAAGACGTTGGTCACACCTCCAGGAACCAGGACCTTAGAGGAGAAGAAACCCAAGGGTCAAAGAAATAGGGCTGAGATGGAGCTCCCTGGTTGGTGTAAACCTCAGACGATGGAGGTTTTATGGGTAATGGGGTTTTAACTTGAATGATCCATTGAGAAGGTATTCAGAACTTTGATTAGAACGATCTTTCTAAAATGTTCAAATCAAGCTCTAATGTTTAAATAAAGTACACAAAATGTGGACAATAAGTATTTTAACTTCTGACTTTTGTTGTCTACACTTTCCTTATTTATTCATTACTTTCGGTAGTAAATGTTTCTCCAGTGTTTATTGCTCAGAAATCTGGACAACATAGAGAGAAATAAGGATTTTCACTTATGAATGTTTTAGATGTGATAGTTACCTCCACTATAGGTTTTGTTTTTGATATTATACTGTCTGTCTTTGAGCAATAAAGCTCCCACAACTTCTGTAAAACATTCCCAAGTCATGGATAGTCTGTGTTTGACTTCCCAGAAAATTCAATCTGATTTGTTTTCAGTTCAATTTGTTGGTTTGTTCTTTTATGAGATGCATTTCTGCAGTGTTTTGGAAAAACGACAGGCCCAATTTTCATTACATTTGGTGTAACGGTTTTTTATTGGACAAGACACAACCCATTATATTTGGAGAAGATATAAATCAAAGTTTTTACTTCAGTCGAAACTGCTTTTGGAGAGGTCTCTCAGAGAACTCTTCTGGCTGTAGATCCCAAACATTATAGAAAAGTTGCTATCCTTGTATTCTGTCACATCTCCACAGCGCCTGACATGCATTACATAGAGATCTGGCAGTGATAGTGTACATAATGACCTCACTGCTCATCCCATAAACATGCATCCCGCTGCCAGAGAACTCCTGAAACACTAACAAAGGCCCGGGAGGTTAAACGCCAAACAAATCGTTCAGTGAGTGGACTGACGGATAAACAGATTCTGCTTGGAAGCGGCTGGAGAGCGGATTCAGACACGAGTTTTCTGACAACAAGGACCGTCTCTTGTCACTGGGATTATCACGGCATTTATCTCCTGTTAGTGGGCCTTGAAAATGCGAGGTTACATCATGGGAAATATATCTGGTGGTTGAACTCGAGGCCACCCTCATTTGGAGCTTTTGTTTTGGTTATAGCAAATATCTCAAAGGGTTTTTGGAGCGATGATGATGTTCTCATGATGATGCTCAGTGATGATGTGGTTGAGATACCACAACTGGAAGCTCATAAACTGCTGCTGGCCGCGGTTCAAATCCATTACAAGTCCATTGGCTTCTGAACAAGATGAATTGTGTTTGATTGGACGTGCAGTCATACAGTAATTTCCTGAAGGCAGAGCTGCTGAGACGTAGCTCCCTGACTGAGGTAATGGAGCCGAAGAATCCCAGTTTTTATGAGTAATAATGAGTTTTTAAAAAGGGGTCAGGTTTACTGTGTTAACAAGTGGACTTGAATGATCCACTGAGACGATACTTGAGAGTACACATTGTCTAAAAAGCTCCAAGTTGGACTGTGATGTTGGCCAATTAAAAATAACTGATGGATAGCTTCTAGAATACGTTGTCCACCCTCTACTTACTTACAAATCAGTTTGCTTAAACTAACTTTGGGTACTAATTGAAGGTCTAATGTGTCTCCAGTGACCCAAACACAAAACCAGCTCAATAAAGAAATGGCTTGTGTTGTAAAACTTGATCTAAACCCCATTCCATATCTTTGGGATTAGCTGAAACTCCTACAAATTGCCAGGCCTTAACACCTCACGTTGCAGTTAGACCTGCAGTTAGACCTGCAGCCAACATCTGGACCAAAGCCTGAAACCAGGAGCGTTGAGACTTGATGCCCATGTTGTTGGAATTACATGGTCTACTATCACATGTGGTGCAATCTAAGAGCTTCCACATGGTTTTGGCCATATTGTTCTGAACCGTGCACATTTTTTGGGCTATTTCTACTCAAGTGGAACTCATGCAATGCAACCAAGCATGGATTTTCTCTTTTAAAGTAGCCCTATCTCCTCATACTATCTATAGATTATGAATTCCTCTGTTTGAACACAGCATATTTTACATCGGTTGTGTGAAATGAGGCTCAATTAGACTGAATTATCATCGGGAATCTTTCCTGAGCTCATATCTGTGTCTCTGTGTGTCTCTGTGTCTCTGTGTCTCTGTGTCTCTGTGTCTCTGTGTCTCTGTGTCTCTGTGTCTCTGTGTCTCTGTGTCTCTGTGTCTCTGTGTCTCTGTGTCTCTGTGTCTCTGTGTCTCTGTGTCTCTGTGTCTCTGCCAAACCAACCAGACAGCATCAAAGTTCATTAAAATAAAACACAACAGAAGTGAAAATAGATAGAGGAAGCGGTGAGGACAGGGGAACAATAAACAACTCTGTGTGTTGACCATGCGGATGATATACTGTAATATTAGCTTCACAGCGTCGTCAAACAGATGCTAATCATCAACAAAGCCAAATTAGATTACAGCCTTATGGCTCCAACATCTCCAACCAAAGAAGCTTCATCTGATCAGACTCTTCCTGTTGTAATAAAACCCTCTTCTGACTCCAGATATGTGCACTGCTGCATGAAATCAGTGCTGATGGGGGGGAAAAAGCTTGATTTCCATATTTCCCAGCATCACTGTAATAACTGCTGCTCTAACATCTGTGCAACATCAACTTAATGAAACATACAAATAGAAATATAGCCAAAATGTACAACCTTAGAATAGACAGAACCTTTTCTCACTGTTTGATCTGATGTGGAGAACAGATGGATTCAACTTTATTTGAACTTTTCCGACAACTGAATACATGCAACCCGAGTTCAGGGACACTGTTTAATGGAAACTAGCTGTACAAAAAGTATCCAGAGGTGGGAGAATTCAAGAGCTACAAGTCTGAAGTCAAGTCTGAAGTCAAGTCCCAAATCAAGAGCCACATTAGGAACCAAGTCATGACAAGCGAACCTCAAGTCAAGAACCAGGTCAAGGACTACAAGTATAACGTCAAGTCGTACGATTATTAAGATAAGACCAACAAGCCCTAAGACAAAGACCCAGTTAAGACTATATATCTGAAGAAGAGAATAAAGTCAAGGCAAGTCAAGAATTAAATCCAGCCAACAAGTCAAGACTGCAGAGTTTGAGGTCAAAGCAAACAGGTCCCAAGAAAACAAGACTATGGAGTCTTGGGTCAAGAACAGAGCCTTGGCTTACAAGTCACGACTAACAAGTCTCGAATCAACACTACAGATTCTCAGTGCAAGAAGGTGAACAGGTCCCAAGTCCGAAGACTAGAGAGTCTTAAGTGAAGAAGAAAGTCTAAGCCAACAAGTCCCAAGTCTTGGGTCAAGAACAATGTCATGGTTAACATGTCCCAAGTCCGAAGACTAGAGAGTCTTGAGTGAAGAAGAAAGTCAAGAAAAACCAACGAGCCTGAGACAAAGTCAGATCCCAGGTTACAAGTCACACTTTTTAAAAGTATTAGGCCTTTTTAGGACTAAATTAATCAAATCAAATCAAGTTTTATTTATATAGCACATTTATAAACGATTTTTGGTGGAGCCAAAGTGCTGAACATATAATACAAACAGCCTACAGTAGAGACACTTTACAGCAAATACAACAGCACAGATTGTTCAGAATATCAGTATGAGAAAAAACGACACCCTCTGTCCTTAGACCCTCTGTCCTTAGACCCTCTGTCCTTAGACCCTCTGTCCTTAGACCCTCTATCCTTAGACCCTCTGTCCTTAGACCCTCTGTCCTTAGACCCTCTGTCCTCAGACCCTCTGTCCTCAGACCCTCTGTCCTTAGACCCTCTGTCCTTAGACCCTCTGTCCTCAGACCCTCTGTCCTCAGACCCTCCTGTCCCTTAGACCCTCTGTCTACCTCTCCTCAGACCCTCTGTCCTTAGACCCTCTCGTCCTTAGACCCCTCTGTCCTCAGACCCTCTGTCCTCAGACCCTCTGTCCTTAAGACCCCTTCTGTCCTTAGCACCCTCCTCTGTCCCTCAGACCCTCTGTCCTCAGACCCCTCTGTCCTTAGACCCTCTTGGTCCTCAGACCCTCCTGTCCTCATGACCCTCTTGTCCGTTAGACCCCCTCTTGTCCTTAGACCCTCTGTCCCTTAGACCCTTGTCCTTAGACCCCTCTATCCTTAGACCCTCCTCTGCTCCTTAGACCCTCTGTCATTAGACCCTCTATCCTTAGAACAGCTCCTTGTCCCTTAGACCCTCTGTCCTTAGACCCTCTCCTACCTTAGGACCTCTGTTCCTTAGACCCTCTGTCCTTAGATCCCTCTGTCCTCAGACCCTCTTAGCCTTAGACCCTCTGTCCTTAGACCCTCCACATCGTACAAGGAAACACTTTCCAGAGGAAAACCCAGTTTCTAAGAATGGAACATAAATTAGCAATTTATTGACCAAGCAAACAAAAGGAAAATGAATCCATTAGATCGATCTGACCTAATAACCATCAGTCATCACTTTATCCGTCATGAAATCTCCTTTATCTCAGAACAAGCTTGTGGGATGAGATCATCCCACTTCATTATAATCCCCATTAAAATGATCTTATCTCAACAATTCCCTGGATCCACATCACAACCAGCGAGGGTCGACCCTTTAAGAGTTTGCAATTAAAAAATAAATCTTATCTCACTCGCAGATTTTTAAATAAAAGCTTGTCAGTTATTGGTCTTTGAATTTATAGCTGTAATCCTTTGAGAGCAGAGACGGTCATCTCAGGGAAAGCACCTCTTCCTCCCCCGTCAGGCGGATTCTCGGACTACAATGACAGTCTGTGTTTTTGCAGCCTGCAGAGAGAGAGCAACTCACCGACTCCGGGGCTCTTTTATTGAACACTTAGAGGAATATATCCACAACTTTAAGGGTTTGAAAGACAACAACTGTTCACAGATTTGACAGTTTTCACAGTAACATTCATGATTTGACGTTGATCGGGCCACTGTGGGCAGTTGTATTTGTCTTACTGTAGTACTGACCCTCATATGTCTCAATCTTAAGTTGTTCCTTGTTTTTCTTTGTCATCGGCTGTTTGTTATAAGCACTAGACCTTTTGTCTTGTTACTGCATTTGGGTCCTGCCTTACCCCAACATCCTGACACTTTATTAAATATAACAAAAGACAAACTTTGTCCATGAATCATTTATCAGTTTCTCTTAAGAATTTCCTCCACTGATGACAGTCTGTGTTTTGTACAGCCTGCAGAGAGAGAGAGAGCAACTCACCGACCCGGGGGCTCTGGATCCGGTCAGGGAGCTGTACGCCACCTTGTACTGCTGCACCTGGCCTGAAGCCGCCTCCCAGCGCACGTTCAGGCTGTTTGCGGTGGGGTTGTACACCTGGATGTTCCTGGGTGGCGTACGTGGAACTGCAAAGGGGTCACAAAGGTTATGAGAAAGTGAAATGAGGAAGGAGGACTCTCTTCACTTAGCAACCAAACATACAAACAAAGGGTTTGTTCCAAGTAAGATCCACTTTAGGAGGCGGAAAACGACAGCTAAGGTTGATGGATTTACAAACAAGTTCCTGAAAATGTCCCGGTTGGAACGTTCAGAGCTAAACAGAAATGTAGGGAATGCAAAGAGGATTAGTCGGTTTATGTTTTGCATTTTTAAGAAGCTGCTATTTGAAATCTCAGCTGATAAAAACAAAACAGCCTCTGTACTGTATGATGCATTTTAGAAACGTTTGGCTTCTTCAAAGTCTACGAGAGACTCTTACAATCGCTCGGCTTATTGAGAGCTAATGTACCCACAGGTTCTTGAGTTTGTATCTTCGTGGTTGATTGCACAGTAATGTAAACGTAAAAACCAAATTCCTCAAAGGTCAGAACCTCGGTGGACCTTATTAAAGAAATACATCTGATTCCGTCTTCTATTTAGTTCTCTATTGGAATAACCTTCCAAAACCTCTGGCGTCCATCAAGAAAAAAAGGCATTTAATGAAGGAATAAATGGTCAAAATGGATGCAATGCATCACAGTCAGACTGGACGCGCTGCTGAGGGCAGCAGAAGGCTTTTTATAGCGTGTGTCTATTACCTCATTCACACCAACGCAACTCCGGTTCAAGCTTCGTGCTAGAGCTTTTCAGGTTCAGAACCGGTTCTTCGGTTTAGCGGAGGCTCTTTTCACACCGCCCAGAGTCCGACTGGTGCTGCGTCATCGTTTGCGTGCCTGCTTCATAAAGCCAAACCGCACGGAAACCCCTCACAGCTGACACCGACAACAACAACAATGGCCGATTGTGCTCCAGCTTCCTCTGTACCTCTTCGGAAGACCAGATTCCCAGTAGGTAGCTGGTCTCTTCAGTGGACCACTGCTGCTTGTTAAGTTTCTCCATCGTTGTACAAACTGGATAAAACGCCGGCTTCTTGTTGTTGTTCAGGAGTTGATCCCGCCCCTGCCCCTGCCCCCGTCTCGACGTAAGCGTGACGTATGTGGTGCTTTTGCTCTGGCCGGACAATTCTTTGGTGCTTGAAACGAACCGGATTCCGGAGCTAAGAGGCTGCTCCGCTGCGGTGTGAAGAGGAAAACCCGGTGCTTTTCAAGCTCCAGCTCCGAACTGGCCCCGAAACACCGTTGGTGTGAATGAGGTATCAGTGGAGGAAGTGTAGAGAGAAGTAGCACAGTTCTGGGTTTATGCAAAAGCCCTTAGCTTGCCTGTTAAACAAAAGCAGATGTGCATATCCCCCTGGTATTTGGAGCTTTACCTAATAAAACAGAACTGGATGCAGTAGGTAGATTTCAACAGAGCCTCCTCCTCCTCAATAAAGACTTTCCCCCTAATGTTGGATCACCACATCCTCATTTAATACCTTTAAATACAGAAGACAGAGTCCGTCTAAATGTTTGACTTCTATCATCCAAAGACAAAATTGCCTTCTTTCCTCCAGAGAGATTATGTAATCTTGATCTAATTCTCTTTATTGTTTAGCAGCATGCAGCAATTATTTTCCTCCACAGTGTTGGCCAGGAACAGTGATTTTTGTTCAGATAAAATGTGACAAATTCCTCCTGGGACAGAAACAGTAACAGTGGACTGAGTTACTGCTAATAAAAGGTCATTAACGTCACACAGAGGCTGTGATAGACTGACTCACCGGGAGCTCACCTGCCAACACGCAGACGTAACATGTGACCTTATCAAGCTCAGACTGACCTTCCTGCCACTCTGGAGGAATCAAAAACACTCATTTGCTAAGCGTGTAGGCATTCAAACCCATTTAACGCAGCATTGGTCTCTTGACAATATTGGTTCATGTTTGAACTATAGCAAGAAGACCATCCTGATTGAGTGAATATAGCCTAAAACCTTTGGAGAATAAAGAATGGTTTAGTGACTAATGTTCCTATAACAAAGTCGCTAAGAGGCTAAATGAGGCACTACACATCTATAGTCGTGTACCAGGAGGAATCCAAGGTCAGAACATCTGGTCTTTAAACTTCATCTTAAATACATGTGAAAAGTGACATGGGAAAATATCCATCCATCCATCCATCTTCTCCCGCTTATCCGTGGTCGGGTCGCGGGGGTAGCAGTTCCAGCAGAGAGCCCAAAACTTTCTTTTCCCCTCATCAACCAGCTCTGACTGGGGGATCCCAAGGCGCTCCCAGGCCAGCGAAGAGATATAATCCCTCCACCTGGTCCTAGGTCTATGGGAAAATATGTAATATCCAATCTACTTTTCCTTTGTAGTATTACTTTTCCTTGTAGCCTGTTTCCTCTAGGACCAACACAAACTGTGAGATGCCGTAAAGTTCCTACTATTACACACAAACCTCTCAACCTGTATCTTGCCCTATAATGGGCTGTAACTCAACGACAGGTCCACATATTTAGACTGCTTTAATGCGAACTAGACATAAATATACCCTAACCCAAGCCAACATATTTCAACACAAGACCATTTACATTTTATAATAATACGTCCATAACTTTAGGGGTTTAAGGCAACCAAAAACTGTGCACATTTATGATGGATTTTACAGTTTCACAGTAACATTCATGATCATACATTGGAGGCCAGATCAGGCTACTGTGGGCAAATGCATATTTTTTTCCTGCAGTTCTGGCCCTCAAATATGTCGCAATCATAACCTCAAAAATTCAAATTGTCTACAAAACCGACTTGTATAAAAAAAATGGCATTCAATTACAATACATCTAGTCAATAAAGCCTCTGAATGATCCCTACAAGAAGAGAGGCATTCAGGCTTGTGTTTGCATGCTGGAGTCGTGTTTCCCTCGCAGCTTCTCAATTAAATAAAACCCCAGGATGCATTTCTGCTGACTGGGCATGGCATGCTGTCTGGCCAGAAAGAAAACCATCATGACGGCACATCAAACCACCCAGGAGAATCTCCAAAACACCAAATATTCCTCCATGCAGACTTTCCAACAGGAGCTGAAACGTTCCACATTATCTCTGCTGGAAGTTCTGCTATCAATCACTGAGCAGCTTCTCTTGTGTTCCATCCTCCCTTCCTGATTTAGGAGGTTTGGCTCTTTCTACAGTAGTTTTTTCCACTGAGGGCTCACCTGGGATAGACTGTTTGTCTATAAAGATGTTTCTGCTGTCAGACTTTGCTGAAAAACAACGTTAAAAAACGACGAGTGAACTCTGGCCAGGAGCAGCAGATTCAGGTTCACTTCAGGAAAACACTCAACGTTTATCGCGGATGCTTTAGCGCAGAGACATTTATTTTAGCAAGGGACTGCTCTGTTTCTCTTCAGTCCTGTAATGCTGGCAGCTGCTCAGTAAAAAGTGACATCTGACCTTTTCCTCAATGCAGGAGGGAGGCGGTTAAAAGGAAAACTCCAAGAAGTCTAATACCATTTAAAATAATAATAAGAGCCAACACTGAAGTCAAAAATAAGCATGTTGACCTCGTTTTGTACCCCCACTATCCGGTATCCACTATATTTGCCCAAGTCTACAGTAAACATATGCTTTTTAAATCATATTCTAGACGTTTACACAGCAGATGTCTTACCACTATGTCTGTTTATAGTGCGTTAATTAAGTCGAAAACAGCCCTAAAGTGTTGAAGGAGTTTAATTTGGTTTATAGAGTTTTATCTTGCGCTTTGCCACAATAGAAAAAATAAAGACCTGATCATTGAAACAGCAGAAAAGGACGGCAAGCTAAATTATTTGTAAATTGCCAGAAAGTGGTGTCACAGTATTTCATAATAAGAAGTAAAAAAAAGAATAAATGAAAACCTGACGGGGTCTGAGAGTATGTAAAATAAATAGGAATAAGCTGCATTTGAAAACATATTTGTACCAGCAAGACAAATGTGTTTTTTATGTCCTGTTTTTATTTCATGTTTCTCTTTAGCGAGAAAAAACGGTCCAAAGATGAGGAATGAATTTTTAAAAATATTTTCTGAGAGTTACATTTCTAAAAGCAGATGCTTTTTTTCTTCTGATCAGGCCATCCGTGTGTTACATGACTTTATTCCTTTAACATGTTTTAGATTTTCTTTTAAAAGAAGAGTGAGTTTCTTTGTGTCCAGAGGAATTCTCTCCCGACATCTTTACTGCAGAAATTAAAAAATTAAAAAAGGCGCCCCAGATTTTTCTTTTGTCTATTTTTTGGGAGTCTTTGATCCCTAATTATTCATAACTGTCATAAAGGTCTGCACCAGGATCTTCAGCTGCAGGGTTTAATCATATACATTTCATTTAAGTCATTACATTTTTATCTAAAGTGACTCACAATAAATACTATAAACCATGAAGATCCAAATTCAGAACAGAAACCAACCCGGAGTTCCTCAAGGCTCCATCCTGGGGCCCCTTTTCTTTTCCATCTACATGTTCACACTGGCTCCGATTATAATAATAATAATAATAATACTACATGGGATTTGTATAGCGCTTTTCCTAATGCTCAAAGATGCTTAAAATAATGGAAAACAGTTCGGAAAGTTTGAGGACTCACGTGTTTTCCCGTCATCAGACTGGCGGAGTCCCTCCCCCTCGGGGTAAACAGGGACGACGGTCACGGTGTAGGGAGTGTCCGACAACAGGTTCTTCAGGATGGTGTTGGTGGTGCCACCTGACACCTGCTCCTGCTCACACACACACACACACACACACACACACATATATGAACACAATGATCACAATCCACATTATCTGGGATGTGATTTCTGGGAGTTTAATGAAAATTCAGCATGCTCGGATTACCGAACGTAGAATTGATCTGAATCGGATAACAATACGTTATTATTTTTCATCCTGGGGTTAATTTGTTTTTTCTTTTAAATAATGTAAATCACAATATTGAAGAAAAAAACTGTGTTTTAGTATAATTCAGATATTCATGCTGAATTGCAAAGATTAATAGGGTTTGGTTGTTGATTGTGACGTAAGTTAGTGCCAGTCTATGTCAAAATCAATTACTGACACTTACTGTATTTCCACACTTCAATTAAATTTCTCAATCTGTATATTAATATTGTATATTCAATAAGGGATACTCTAGGTATACATATTTCACTGTTGATACGTATATATTTTAAGTGCAATGCTTGTCTAAACTCCATGCTGCTGTGGCGAAGGAATTTCCCCAAACTTGTATCAATAAAAGTATACCTTCTATCGTCTCTTAAATCTGCAAGTTCAATTTCCTGTGTTTATAGAACAGGAAGTGGTCCTGATGTCTCACCATGTCCTCCGCTCCTCCGGATGAAGGGACGTAGAAGATACGATACTGCCGGACGTTTCCCTCCGCCGGCTCCCAGCGGACCTTCAGAGAACTGGTGGTGGGATCAGAGACCTGCAGACTATTCACCCCGCCCAGAGCCTCTGTCAACACACACAGAGAAACATCCGTCAACTTGCTGTTTGAGTTACAGCCGCTAACAAATTACTCTCCGTTTGACCTCGTCACATCAGCAACAGATGGAGCCTGCAGGCAAGTGTCAATCACAGGAAGGTGACATCTGCTCATTTGCAATATATTTTTCATTGATTAAATAAACTTCCTTGTCTGTCCTTCATGTACAGCGACCTTGGGTCCCGTGAAAGGCGCTTTATAAATTCCATTTATTATTATTATTATTATTATTCTGTAATTACACCATATTATCTCATATGCACTTTATTAAAGGTCTCCTATTTTACTATTTTCAGGCATATATTATAGGTCTCAGATATATAAAAAGGTAGCCCACATTTCCGATATTACACCATGACCGCAGAAAATCTGGATCAGCTCCGTTGTTCCCCCGTTTTTAGAGATTTGGGTACGGAGGAAAAGAGAGGGGTTTGTTTTCTGACACACCGGGAACATATATTGATGTATAAGAGACATCAAAAAGTGCATTTTCCATGATAGGAGACCTTTAAGGCAAGGATGTTGTATTTTCCTTTGATAATTGCATTTTTCTACCACAATTAATAAACAAAGAAATCAGAATACATTATTTATCTTGGGGGAAATTGTGTTTAATGAGTTGCTCTATTTTTAAATTAAATTAAACAAATATAGATAGATATATTGTAAACATGAACCGAGGTGGAATTAATAATATGCAGAAATAAAATCTAAATAAAATCTAATAATTAAAAAATGTAATAAATATATTAAAATAAACAGAAAAGTTGAAGCAGTAAAAAGATAAGATCAAATAAAATACAACTATTTATATAAACATCAGAATTTAAATAAAATGTTGAATTTCTTTAAATAAATTACAAATATTATTTATATAACATAAAACACTCACTTGTCTTCCCGTTCTCCGACTCTCGTTTCCCCTCCATGTCGGCGTAGATGGGCACCAGCGTCACTTTGTACTCGGTGTCGGGCTTCAGGTCTCTCAGCACCGTGTTGGTCGACATGCCGGATACCGGAGTCTGAAGAGGACAAAAAAAACACATTTGTGAAAGTTGGGAAATGTTGGAAAAATCTACTTTTAACACCGTCTGACAATTGACTTCCCTATTCGACACATCCCTTCTTTAATGAAGAGAGATCATTATAACACAGACCATGCTCTCTGCTAGTTGATCCAGTTCTATGTGGATCTACTGGTTTTCTGTTGCAGTTGTTCCTAATCCTTTAAAACTACAATGAAACAATACTAAAAACTAATAAAAAAGTAGCTTCACCAGGTGTATCTCATTCTCTTATAGAAGCTATTCCTAAAACTATGAATGAAGTATTGATTATTATCAAACCTCATCACTTTCAAATGTCCTGTTCTTTCCATATTGAGAAAGATCTTGAGGTTCAAGCCTTTATTTAACCAGGTAGGTCCCGTTGAGATCATTGATCTATTTTTCAAGGGAGACCTGCACGTTCAGGTTCATTAGAAAGCTTGAGAACATCCACTAAATGGATCTATCAATGAGGTTTTAGTAAGCTACAATAATGTCGTTTTAGTAACTAGTACAATAGTAAACTAATAACTGAGACAATTAAAGAAATGTATATAAATAAAATGAAAACATATTGTGTTTTCTGTAGAAACTACTTGACATGTTCCTTCTTTAATAGAAAGAATGGACAACGAAATGAAATAAAAAGCACAAATTACTTCAATGGATTTCTGTTGCATTAATTGCTAGTCTTTCAAAACTGCCATGAATTCTTTTTCTTTTTTTTTTTTTAATTGTAGCTATCACCAGGTGTGTGAACTCTCTGGTCCTTCCATCCTCTTGTAAAAGCAATTGACAGAAAACTGATGGATAGATAGAATATGATATGAAATGTAGTTAAGCATTGATAATGAAACGCACCATGCTCTCCGCTCCCCCCCCCTGTGGGGACGTAGATGATCTGATACTGCCTCACGTCGCCCTCCGCCGGCTCCCAGCGGACCCTGAGAGAGTTGGTGGTCGGGTCGCTCACCTGCAGGTTCTTCACTCCTCCCAGAGGCTCTGAACATAAAAAACATGACACATTACAGTTAATCCTCTCCGTTAGCTTTATCCCGTGTGGGCGGGTTTCCCCTCGTCATCCTGTCCAGATGTCTCAGAGTCTTGTCAATCACAGAGGAGTGTCCGAAACCCTCTGAGCCAAAACATCCTCATTAAAACAAATTCACGCTTAAAGGAATTTCTCCATTGGAAGACAAACTGCTGCAAATAATCCCTGTCCGAATTTTATTCCACATTTGGTTCCATTCTATTTCTATGTAAATACTGCTATATTTTACTATATATTTCTTTATATTTTGTAATGTTGTTATAGTTTTCTTAAAATAGTTCTCTATCTGTCTTTTTATTTTTGTTTTACTTTTATGTATGCACCATGACACCAAGTCAAATTCCTCACGCGTCAACCTACCTGGTGATAACCCTGTTTCTGATTCCCATGGTGAACAAACAAGAGGGGCAAATGATAAAGTCAAAATGTAATGAATAGCAGTAGGCTGCGATGGGTTAGGGGTCAAAGGCCATGGTGAACACGTGAGTTTTTAATCAAGACTTGAAGATGTCAAGGGAAGCAGCATTGCAGATCTCTGAGTGAATTTTCTCCGTCAGCTTTAGTCTGCCGGGTGCCCCGTGTGGGCGGGTTTCCCCTCGTCATCCAGTCCAGATGTCTCAGATACTGGTCAATCACAGAGGAGTGTCCGAAACCCTCTGAGCCAAAAACATCCTCATAAAAAGGCATTCGCGCTTAAAGGAATTTCTCCATGGGAAGAAAAACTGCTGCAAATAATGCTTTAGCTTCATCCTGCAGGGTGCACCAGATGGGTGGGTTTACCACATGAGGAGGGTCCAGATGGATCAAGAATCTCTCTGGCTCTCATTATGTTCTTTTGTGAGCCAGGAATGTCCAAATAAACAACGTCTGTATTCTCACCCTCCAACTTTTTTGCATGTTTCAGGGCATTTAATACACGCTTCACATTCACTGGCTGCTTTTCAGATGGACTTCCTGTTGGAGGCGGCCTGTGGTCTTTTAAGTAATAAAAACGTTCCTCAAAAGGTATGTTATTGTAGGAAACGCTGTGTCCTGCAGAGATCGATATAAAAACTGAGGAATCAATAAAAACAACCACAAGTTCAAAGATTTATAACTACCAGCTTTTCTGTTAGAAATACATCAGACACGTTTTTACAAAGGCAAACACATGGCCATACATAGAGACACTACATACTGATACACACCTGAACATCAGCAGGAGAGGACTCTTTAAAGTAGAGACACTACATACTGATACACACCTGAACATCAGCAGGAGAGGACTCTTTAAAGTAGAGACACTACATACTGATACACACCTGAACATCAGCAGGAGAGGACTCTTTAAAGTAGAGACACTACATACTGATATACACCTGAACATCAGCAGGAGAGGACTCTTTAAAGTAGAGACTCTACATACTGATATACACCTGAACATCAGCAGGAGAGGACTCTTTAAAGTAGAGACACTACATACTGATATACACCTGAACATCAGCAGGAGAGGACTCTTTAAAGTAGAGACACTACATACTGATACACACCTGAACATCAGCAGGAGAGGACTCTTTAAAGTAGAGACCTACATACTGATATACACCTGAACATCAGCAGGAGAGGACTCTTTAAAGTAGAGACACTACATACTGATATACACCTGAACATCAGCAGGAGAGGACTCTTTAAAGTAGAGACACTACATACTGATATACACCTGAACATCAGCAGGAGAGGACTCTTTAAAGTAGAGACACTACATACTGATACACACCTGAACATCAGCAGGAGAGGACTCTTTAAAGTAGAGACACTACATACTGATATACACCTGAACATCAGCAGGAGAGGACTCTTTAAAGTAGAGACACTACATACTGATACACACCTGAACATCAGCAGGAGAGGACTCTTTAAAGTAGAGACACTACATACTGATACACACCTGAACATCAGCAGGAGAGGACTCTTTAAAGTAGAGACACTACATACTGATATACACCTGAACATCAGCAGGAGAGGACTCTTAAAGTAGAGACACTACATACTGATACACACCTGAACATCAGCAGGAGAGGACTCTTTAAAGTAGAGACACTACATACTGATATACACCTGAACATCAGCAGGAGAGGACTCTTTAAAGTAGAGACACTACATACTGATACACACCTGAACATCAGCAGGAGAGGACTCTTTAAAGTAGAGACACTACATACTGATATACACCTGAACATCAGCAGGAGAGGACTCTTTAAAGTAGAGACACTACATACTGATATACACCTGAACATCAGCAGGAGAGGACTCTTTAAAGTAGAGACACTACATACTGATATACACCTGAACATCAGCAGGAGAGGACTCTTTAAAGTAGAGACACTACATACTGATACACACCTGAACATCAGCAGGAGAGGACTCTTTAAAGTAGAGACACTACATACTGATACACACCTGAACATCAGCAGGAGAGGACTCTTTAAAGTAGAGACACTACATACTGATATACACCTGAACATCAGCAGGAGAGGACTCTTTAAAGTAGAAACACTACATACTGATATACACCTGAACATCAGCAGGAGAGGACTCTTTAAAGTAGAGACACTACATACTGATATACACCTGAACATCAGCAGGAGAGGACTCTTTAAAGTAGAGACACTACATACTGATATACACCTGAACATCAGCAGGAGAGGACTCTTTAAAGTAGAGACACTATATACTGATATACACCTGAACATCAGCAGGAGAGGACTCTTTAAAGTAGAGACACTACATACTGATACACACCTGAACATCAGTAGGAGAGGACTCTTTAAAGTAGAGACACTACATACTGATATACACCTGAACATCAGCAGGAGAGGACTCTTTAAAGTAGAGACACTACATACTGATATACACCTGAACATCAGCAGGAGAGGACTCTTTAAAGTAGAGACACTACATACTGATATACACCTGAACATCAGCAGGAGAGGACTCTTTAAAGTAGAGACACTACATACTGATATACACCTGAACATCAGCAGGAGAGCACTCTTTAAAGTAGAGACACTACACACTGATATACACCTGAACATCAGCAGGAGAGGACTCTTTAAAGTAGAAACACTACATACTGATATGAACCTGAACATCAGCAGGAGAGGACTCTTTAAAGTAGAGACACTACATACTGATATACACCTGAACATCAGCAGGAGAGGACTCTTTAAAGTAGAGACACTACATACTGATATACACCTGAACATCAGCAGGAGAGGACTCTTTAAAGTAGAGACACTACATACTGATATACACCTGAACATCAGCAGGAGAGGACTCTTTAAAGTAGAGACACTACATACTGATACACACCTGAACATCAGCAGGAGAGGACTCTTTAAAGTAGAGACACTACATACTGATATACACCTGAACATCAGCAGGAAAGGACTCTTTAAGTAGAGACACTACATACTGATATACACCTGAACATCAGCAGGAGAGGACTCTTTAAAGTAGAGACACTACATACTGATACACACCTGAACATCAGCAGGAGAGGACTCTTTAAAGTAGAGACACTACATACTGATATACACCTGAACATCAGCAGGAGAGGACTCTTTAAAGTAGAGACACTACATACTGATACACACCTGAACATCAGCAGGAGAGGACTCTTTAAAGTAGAGACACTACATACTGATACACACCTGAACATCAGCAGGAGAGGACTCTTTAAAGTAGAGACACTACATACTGATATACACCTGAACATCAGCAGGAGAGGACTCTTTAAAGTAGAGACACTACATACTGATACACCTGAACATCAGCAGGAGAGGACTCTTTAAAGTAGAGACACTACATACTGATATACACCTGAACATCAGCAGGAGAGGACTCTTTAAAGTAGAGACACTACATACTGATATACACCTGAACATCAGCAGGAGAGGACTCTTTAAAGTAGAGACACTACATACTGATATACACCTGAACATCAGCAGGAGAGGACTCTTAAAGTAGAGACACTACATACTGATATACACCTGAACATCAACAGGAGAGGACTCTTTAAGTAGAGACACTACATACTGATATACACCTGAACATCAGCAGGAGAGGACTCTTTAAAGTAGAGACACTACATACTGATATACACCTGAACATCAGCAGGAGAGGACTCTTTAAAGTAGAGACACTACGTACTGATATACACCTGAACATCAGCAGGAGAGGACCTCTTTAAGTAGAGACACTACATACTGATATACACCTGAACATCAGCAGGAGAGGACTCTTTAAAGTAGAGACACTACATACTGATATACACCTGAACATCAGCAGGAGAGGACTCTTTAAAGTAGAGACACTACGTACTGATATACACCTGAACATCAGCAGGAGAGGACTCTTTAAAGTAGAGACACTACGTACTGATATACACCTGAACATCAGCAGGAGAGGACTCTTTAAAGTAGAGACACTACATACTGATATACACCCGAACATCAGCAGGAGAGGACTCTTTAAACTTGATTTATGACATTTTACTTCACTGGCAGCCATTCCATTCAGTTATTCTAGGTCATCTTTACCTCATTAAATGTAGAGGAGTGATTTTGAAACTATAGGATGTCAGTTTTCTAAAACAAAGCAGAGGGGTGGCATCAGTTCAACTTTTCTAAACGGTCCCTTTGGTGGGATTTTATTTCATGAGGTCACTTAATAAATGCCTATTCTCTCATTCGATTGGTCCCTCCTTTTTTTATATTCTGCATTACTTCAGATGATACCTCAGAGGAGACAGGACACCTCTTGTGATGTGTGTGGGAGAGATGTAAACGCAAAGAAGGGAAATACATGTACCCATTGTTCACTATCCTTAAATCAAGTCCGTATACCTTCATTAAATGAACATCTTCCAAAAGTGTTTAAAGTGGTTCGATGAATCCCTCCCTGAAGAAATACTGTTTTTTTGCAAGACTACAGAACAATAAACCCCCATCATTCTCTGCATGGCATCGATGTGAGTGTGCTTTATTTCATTGTTGTTTGTTACTCACAGGCTCAGAGGCACAAACAACACGAAAAAATGACAAATGACAAATGCTATTAATCTTATAGTTGTAGTTGATCCCTGTCGCCGTAAACATTTCTGTTGTTAGTGACAGGAGAGCATATTTGGGTGGGGTTAAACATATGTCAGAGGGAAGATTTAATCAGATAATACATTGACTTTCAGCTGGGTCTGAGCTGTATGAAGACAATTACAAATCATATTATTTTTTAGCAAATACATATATTTTGATATAAAATCATCCGCTTGTTGGTTTAATTACTTAATTGGTCAAGGCAATTAATAGAACAGCTAGAAAAGTCTGGTAAACTCAGAAAATTACACCGTTTTTAATGTATTGCAGCGTTTAAAACCAGGAAAAAAACACTTTACGAAATCCAAAATCTATGAAAATGTATTGAATATATCAAATATCTGAGATGGTATCTTGTCATATATCACAATATCTAATAATAACTATATATTATATCTCTATAGTGCCCTGTTCTACCTTCAGCTTGGCTTTTTTAATGTTTTAATATTGATGTAAATGCAATTATGTTAAAAATAATGCTTTTTTTCCTTGGAAATATAAAGTATGCAAGTATAATAATTGTATCATACATATACCTTTAGTATCATGTTTGAATTGTTATCAACATAGGTGTGGGAGGGTTCATTTTCATAGAGTTTTTTGCCCCATTGTGTTCAAATTCAAGAGATTTTTTGGCAATATTTGGCATAGATTTCATGTTTGGAAAAAAAACTCTTGTCTTTGAATCAAATTGGGCAAAAACTCTATGAAAATGAACCCGCCCACACCCATGCTGATTGGTCGTTGTGAGATAATCATCCATATGACCAGAGCTGATCCGTACATATGCTTTAGATTAGAGGTCGTCACTCACTTGTCTTTCCCTTCTCCGCCTGACGGATGCCCTCCACGTCGGGGTAGATGGGAACCACAGCCACGTTGTAGACGGTGTCAGACTCCAGGTTCCTCAGGGTGGTGGTGGTGGTGGTTCCTCCAAACACCTCCTCCTGTTCAGGGAAACATTTAAACTATCTGTCAGCAGAGATGGCAAAAGTACACACATACTCAAGTAGAAGTACAGATACTCGTGTTTAATCGGACGCAAATCTGGATCAGCTCCGTTGTTCCCCCGTTTTTAGAGATGTGGGTACGGAGGAAAAGAGAGAGGGTTGTATTTTCTGACATATTCTGACATACAAAAGTGCAGACAGTTTGTACCATTTTCTCCTCTCCCGCTGGTTCGGAGGTGTAGAAGACTTTGTAGCTGCGAACGTTTCCCACGGCAGGATCCCATCGGACCGTCAGAGTACTGATGGTGGGGTCGATCACCTTAAGGTTCTTCACTCCACCCAGAGGATCTGATAATGAAGAGCAGGAACACAACAAAGGACTTGATGACTTATCAAATTGTCAATGTACCATCATTTCGTTGATGTGTTACTGAAAAGCAAGACCCCAGGAATTTAAATGTATTTATCCATCTCGTTCCAGTGTTAAACGTCTGCGATAGTAAACGTTAATGGTGCGTTCTCATTGGACGCAAAGCAACAACAACAAAAAGTCGGGATAAGTGCAAATGCTGTGGCTGGAATAAACCGAGTGGCGCAAACTTCACTACCTTCTTCCCCTCGTCCCTTCATTCCTTCCTTCCTCCCTCTCTACATCCCTTCATCACTCCTTCACTACATCACTTCGGTACATGTTCATGAATCCTGGATTAGCACTATTCCTCTCTCCAGGTCCAGGCTACTTCCTGCTGATACAAATCACTGGACAGACATCAGTTTGAACTCACTTGTCTTCCCGTTGGCGGACATGGACAGGCCCTCCATCTCGTGGTAGACGGGCACCACGGTGACGGTGTACTCTGTGTTGGGATCCAGGCTTTTCAGCACGGTAGAAGTGGTCGTTCCTGACACCTGGTCCTGGGGGAGGAAGAGGAAGAGGAATGTTAGTAAAATATCACTGGTCCCCGGCTTGAGCTTGAATCTCAGGATCCATGTGTCTGTGATCCTCTCCAGAATGGAAGTAGTCATCACATACAGAGCATCAACTAGTTCCTGAACAGTGTCCTTCACATGCTGATATCCAAGAGAGGGAGTTACACAGTCACAAGATGGAGGAATAGAAAGCAGCATTCAATCAGAAATGAGCATGCTTGTCATATGTCTTTCTCCATAGAGGCTGAATCATCATGTTAATCACATAGCTATCATATGCCTCAAACAGTCCTGATGCTCTTCTATGTAATCACACATCCTGTCATGTTCACAGCTGCAGTTGATACCTTTGTTAGCATGTTACTCTGATGTTGGAAGAGGACACTCAGTATTTTCCCAACAAGAAACTATTTGAACTGGTTGAACTGAAAAACATGGAGGAAAATAAAGAAAAGGGAGGTTTGGCAGAGGAGGAGAGACGATTTCTCAGTTGAATGTTCTGCGAGCCCAGATTTCTTGGATACAGGTCCAAACTGTCTCAAACAGAAATAGGAAGAGAAACAGAAGAAGTTTGAAGACAAAGAGCAGAAATATTCTCCGTCCAAAACGTTCCAGTAAAGCACCAAAGCTTCTGCTGCGAGTATAAATCTGATTTGTGTCCATTTGATCTAATAGTAAGTCCTGAAATCTGCCAATAGGATGATCCGTCTCTAAGTCAAATCAACTCATGCACGACATTCCTCAAACCAAGAGACATCACCTCAATACACTTTGACTGCTTTAAGCCCGCGTCACACTGTCCCGAAAATTGACACCAGATGGACACACGAATATGGAATTGTGAATTTCGCACGAAGATGGCCCCGAACTTGGTCAACAGCCAAGCAACAGCCGAAGCAAGTACGATGCCTGCAGAAGGCCACGCGATGGCACCCGGACCACACACGGAAATATGGTCGTAGACGTTACTGATGATTTAGAATGTATCCAGACTCAGCGTAAGAGCTTGTGCCTCTTCCGGGGGTGCTAACATTTAAACATACACTTTATTCTTTACTTTCTCCGTCTTTATATGTAGATTAGAAGATATTACTTATCTCCGTCATGTTGTTTCCATAGCAACAGCAACTTCCTGTCAACAGTGTAAACTCGCCTTCAAAATAAAAGCATCTAAATAAAGCAGGAAGTTAACCTAAATTACATGTAAGACATACAACTGCAACGAAAGTAACAAAACAATGTCATATCCTTTTCAGTTTCACAGAACACAAATTGGGTTTTTTACATAATATGTTTACATGATTTTGTTGTGCAATAAATGCAATCTCGATGTCATCGTACTATAATACGATGGCTACACGACGGCATTGCGAGGGCTTCACGTAGTCGTGTTGCCTTCCTAAGACAATCGGGCAGCTTCTTGTTTCCTTCGGATTGTCTTCGTGAGGCGAAAAATGCCCGATGGCACCGATGATCACACGAAGTAAGGATGAAACGATATGACAAGATGCCCTCACGAGTGCCTTACGAAGGGCAAAATGGACTCACGAATTCAACACGAAAATGAACCTTCGCAAGGTCCTTCGGCAATTTGTTGGCATGCCAAAGATTTTGCCACCGCTCACGAAGTTGCTGCCGGAGCCTGAGAAACTCCACCGGTGGTCATACGATGGCTTAGATGCCCTCACGAATTGCCCGATGTTGTTACGATCAGAGCCGAATTTGAACATTTCCTTTATCGTGTTTCCATCTGGTGTCAATTTCGGGACAGTGTGACGCGGGCTTTATGGAAAACAGTAGAAACTGCCTCTGCAATGTTTCGCATCAGTGGTTATGAAATGTACATTTTCCAACTGTTTCCATCTTTTGATATAACTCTTTTTCCTGGACAAGCAAAGAAGGTTTTTTCCCTGGAAACATGCGTAACCATCTCAAGCTGCTGGCTTTTCTCCGTTTGTGTTGAGAAGACTTGAATTTAAGGCCAACAATAAAAAGATGATCCTACAATATGAGAGAGGACATAAAGAACAGAAGCAGTCCTGTTCCTCCAGAATAAAAAAGGCTTTGTATTTTGCATGCAACGATCAAATGTGGTTCTTAACTTGACTTTTTTTAAAACTTATTTGCAGTGTTGTTCCTAAACCTGCTATGTGTTGAAGTTGTACATTGTTATTATTATTTATGTATTCTATATTTGATTTATATTTTTCTAATATCCCTGAACTCGTGTAAACTCTCACCTGACGTAGGTTATGGTAAACTTGTCTAATACCTCATTCACACCAACGCAACTCCGGTTCAAGCTCCGTGCTAGAGCTTTTCAGGTTCAGAACCGGTTCTTCGGTTTAGCTCCGGCTCTTTTCACACTGCCCAGAGTCCGACTGGTGCTGCGGCATTGCGTCATCGTTTGCGTCATGACGTAACCGTTTGCGTGCCTGCTTCATAAAGCCAAACCGCGCGGAAACCTCTCACAGCTCACACCGACAACAACAACAATGGCCGATTGTGCTCCAGCTTCCTCTGTACCTCTTCGGAAGACCAGATTCCCAGTAGGTAGCTGGTCTCTTCAGTGGACCACTGCTGCTTGTTAAGTTTCTCCATCGATGTGTACAAACTGGATAAAACGCCGGCTTCTTGTTGTTGTTCAGGAGTTGATCCCGCCCCTGCCCCCGCCTCGACGTAAGCGTGACGTATATGGTGCTTTTGCTCTGGCCGGACAATTTTTTGGTGCTTGAAACGAACAGGATTCCGGAGCTAAGAGGCTGCTCCGCTGCGGTGTGAACAGGAAAACCCGGTGCTTTTCAAGCTCCAGCTCCGAACCGGCCCTGAAACACCGTTGGTGTGAATGAGGTATGAGAAAACCTGTTAACATGACCTGTGTTTCTCTCTATCTGCTACTCTGACAAGGAATACAAAATCTTTATCTGATCTTAATGTTCCGTTAACTGTCAAGTGGGAACTAAGACTTTTTTCCTACGATACTGTTATGATTGGCTGTGAATAAGAAAATATGAAGGACAGACCATCTATTTTTTTTTGTTGAGAAAAGGGGCCGGTCATATCAGATTATAGTCTTCTCCTTTTCAGGTATGGTGTGTTTATAGAGACATGTTCTGTAAACAATTGTTATACATTAAGTTGTGCATACCGAGAACACATACAAATGAAACTAATGTTCCAGTCTCTCGCTCACCACTTCCTGCTCTCCTCCAGCCACAGGGACCCAGGTCACGATGTATTCTCGCACCGTCCCCTCGGCCGCGTCCCAGCGGACGTTCAGAGAACTCGTCGTGGGGTCGGTCACCTGCAGGTTCCTCGCAAAGCCCAGCGGCTCTGAAACAGGAAGTCAGCGCCAAACAGGAAGTGAGCATTTGGAGCGCAGAGTCACGCAGCTGTTAGTGTCCAGATGTGTCAGAAAAAGACTGTTTTCTGGCGGCCGTTAGCTGTCAGTGATTCAATTGATGCTGCTTTGTTACCACTGGGGAAAAGAGTCAAATTCGTCTTCACTCGCCAAGCCACATGTCTAGATTTCTTTAAAGAATAGCATTCAAGTAAAAGATTGACACTTCTGGTAATACGATGCGGAAGTAGAGCAGAATCTAAGAAAAAACATGAAGCAAGTGGTTCCTTAACAAAAACTCAATTTGTCCGACGTTTTTCCCGTAAAAATATTACTTCAATATCACTCATTTCTGTTCATTCACATCTGTCTAATTGTTTCCCTCTTTTTCTGCTTTGTTACTGTGTCTTTACGTTGAGCTTACTCTGTCCATCGACTGTTATACTGTGCACTTAATATCAAGCATTTATTTATATTCTGAATTCATGTGCAATGCCTTGTTAACATGCTGCTGTAACAAAACTAAAATCTAATTATCAATTAAGTACGTCTTATCTTTATCAATCTGTTTGATGATTCCTTGAAGGTTCAGCTGCGTTTTTAAGGTTTATTCAAGCGCTAGAACTCGTGTAAAGTTTAAACACTGACTTGTCTTCCCGACATCGCTGAGGCTCGGCCCGTCTCCCTCGGCGTAAACTGGAACGACGGTGATGGTGTAACGGGTTTCCGGAAGCAGCTTCTCCAACACCGTCTTAGTGGTGCTCTCTGACACTTGCTCCTACACACACAAGCACACACACACACACACAAGCGCACACACACAGGTGGTGAACACACTGTCCTCCTCCACCTTTAGGATCAGCAGAGCTCCACAAAAAAAACGATTTCAGTTTACTGCTCTCCCTCAATCTAAATAAGATAAGATAATTGATAAAAAGGAACATTATTTATCCCCGAAATGCAGGCGTTTATAGCAGCAACAGGGTCAGAGTAACTATTGAAACGTAATATCACTGTTTAACTGGTAACTCATGTATTTAGTGCCTTTTGATTGTCTACAATAAGAATAATTAGATTTTTTCTGACAGAAATGTCTCTTATAACTGTTTTTAGGCAATCATTCAATTACCTTTTTTAATATTAATAATAATGCATTTTATTTAGAGAGCGCTTTTCTTAAAACTCAAAGACACTTTACTGAGTAAAATGCATAAAAACATAATTAAAACACACTTAAAATATATAAAACTATTCATTACAGATTTAAAAGCGCTTCCGACAAAACATTTTTTAACATTTCCAAATTATTCGACCCACTAAATTTGTTTAAAAGATATCTTTAACTTCAGTTTGACCTCAGAAGAGAAAGTACATACAACCATAATAACTTTAAGGCACATTTATTCTTTAGGATTTAACAACTTCAGTCATAGCAGCACAAGCAGCACTGAACTCCTCTGGTTAAGTACTTTTGGGTAAATGATGTCATCGTCAGCGTTTCTACGAGACACAAACACGTCCGTCAGCCAGATGTTGTTTCACGCTCTCCACAGTCTCAAGGAGCGGGATTTACAGCCACTTATTCTCTAAAAGCTGCGCTGCAGGAACACAAAGCCCACGTTGACGGATGAAAAAGGGTCTTGGTGCTTTCATGCATGATGGGATTATCCTGTCAGAAAGCATGACGTCACTTTGATCCTTTGATCGTTTTGTGTCTGAATTCAAACAGTCTGACTTGTATCTGAATTTCTGCTAACTGGGACATTTAGAAGCTTAAAGATGGAAAAGACGGACTAACCAGGCGATTTTTGCATATATGTCGTGAGGCAACTTGACCAGATTTAATTTATTTGTTACTGCAAGCATTGAGAGGTTTCCCCTGATTTTAAGTGTAAAAATCAGAAAGCATGACGTCACTAAATCCCCGCTTAAAACCCACCTCTTGTCCTTAGCGTTTTGACATTTTGTAGATTGTTACTTTTATTGCTTTTAAATGAGTCTACTGTTTTTACTTGTACTTGTTTTATGGTGTGTGAGCTGAGCTGTGGGATGTTTGTCTGTACAGCACTTTGGTCTGGAGGTTTTAAAGTGCATTTGATCTAATTTTATAAATAACAAGTATTATAATGATGAAATAAAGAGTGTTACCACGATCTCCAGGCCTCCGTCCACGGGGCTGTAGATCACTTTGTATCCCTGCACGTTCCCATCAGCTGGGCTCCAGCTCACCGTCAGGGTGGTGATGGAGGCGTCGATCACCTGCATGTTGCCCACGCCGCTCAACGGCACTACGGCACGGAAATGACATTAATTTATATCATATTATTACAGACTTTCATCATTCATGTTCAGAGGTGGGAAGTAGTGGAGTATAAATACTTCGTTACTGTACTTAAGTACATGTTTCTGGTGTCAGTACTTTACTCCACTACAACTTTTTACTTTCTACTTCTTACATGTTGAACTGAAATACCTGTACTTTCTACTTCTTACATGTTGAACTCAAATACCTGTACTTTCTACTTCTTACATGTTGAACCCAAATACCTGTACTTTCTACTTCTTACATGTTGAACACAAATACCTGTACTTTCTACTTCTTACATGTTGAACTCAAATACCTGTACTTTCTACTTCTTACATGTTGAACTCAAATACCTGTACTTTCTACTTCTTACATGTTGAACTCAAATACCTGTACTTTCTACTTCTTACATGTTGAACACAAATACCTGTACTTTCTACTTCTTACATGTTGAACTCAAATACCTGTACTTTCTACTTCTTACATGTTGAACCCAAATACCTGTACTTTCTACTTCTTACATGTTGAACACAAATACCTGTACTTTCTACTTCTTACATGTTGAACTCAAATACCTGTACTTTCTACTTCTCACATGTTGAACTCAAATACCTGTACTTTCTACTTCTTACATGTTGAACTCAAATACCTGTACTTTCTACTTCTCACATGTTGAACTCAAATACCTGTACTTTCTACTTCTTACATGTTGAACTCAAATACCTGTACTTTCTACTTCTTACATGTTGAACTCAAATACCTGTACTTTCTACTTCTCACATGTTGAACTCAAATACCTGTACTTTCTACTTCTCACATGTTGATCTCAAATACCTGTACTTTCTACTTCTCACATGTTGAACTCAAATACCTGTACTTTCTACTTCTTACACGTTGAACTCAAATACCTGTACTTTCTACTTCTTACATGTTGAACTCAAATACCTGTACTTTCTACTTCTCACATGTTGAACACAAATACCTGTACTTTCTACTTCTCACATGTTGAACACAAATACCTGTACTTTCTACTTCTTACATGTTGAACTCAAATACCTGTACTTTCTACTTCTTACATGTTGAACTCAAATACCTGTACTTTCTACTTCTTACATGTTGAACTCAAATACCTGTACTTTCTACTTCTTACATGTTGAACTCAAATACCTGTACTTTCTACTTCTTACATGTTGAACTCAAATACCTGTACTTTCTACTTCTTACATGTTGAACTCAAATACCTGTACTTTCTACTTCTTACATGTTGAACTCAAATACCTGTACTTTCTACTTCTTACATGTTGAACACAAATACCTGTACTTTCTACTTCTTACATGTTGAACTCAAATACTTGTACTTTCTACTTCTCTCATTTTCCAAACAGCTGGTTCCTTTAGTCTGAATGTGTGTTTGATGCGTGATCATTATTCTTTAGAGTCATTGCGTGCCTATTGATTTGAACACGATCCGTGTATCCATCATTTCCTGGTCTTCTCTAAAGAAGAGGGACCAATGGAAACGTTGTCATGTTGCCGTTGTTCAGCATGGAAACATTCATTAGCTAACAATGACATTATTGTTCTATTAATATAAAGGGAGGTCAGGTACTCTTTAAAGCAGCTGCTAGTTATGGGTACTTTTTACTGAAGTACACTTCAAAGCCTCTTTACTTTGACTTGAGTAAAGAAGTTTAGTCAGTACTTCTACTTTTACCAGAGTATTTTTAAACATGAGTATCTGTACTTCTACTTGAGTAAAGGATGTGTGTACTTTTGCCCTCTCTGATTTTAATCCACAATCCAAGTATTGTTTTACCATAGATGCAACGATCAATCTGCCACCGTCCTTTACGGAGCAGTAGAAGACAATAGGAACATCTTCAAGTCCCAAAATTAACCATGAAGAAACAACTTGTTTCGACAGAACCGGACTTTTCATTTTTTGAAGTGAACTTTGTTCGACTGTAGTTTCTTTCATTTTTTTCTATTGTCTTTTTTTCAGTTTTTACGACAGTTTTTATTTATTTATTATTATTTTCTCCTTTGTCTTTTTATATATTTTCTTTCTATGTATAGAAATATTTTAACTTTATTTTCATTTTTTTGTCTTTCTCACCCTTGTCTTTTTTCATATTTTATTTCTATTAAATGTAACCCACTCAAATAATGCAGTTTTTCACCCTGTAATAACCAGCAGCTCCCACTCGGGGCAGTGCTGGGGCAGCAGAGTCTGCACATGAGGGAGGAGAGGAAGAGCAGGCCAGGTGTGGTTGTTAATGAGGCTCAATGAGTGGCAGCTGAGCAAGTCGAATTGTTCGATGAAGGTTTTTTTGATGCTGCGGGGAACCAGGAACCAGGAACTACCAGAACCGACGAAAGTTTTTGGAGCTGCAGTTTTTGTCTTTTCCTCACCAGAGAAAGGATTAAAGGATTCCACTCTCCAGAAAAAGGACTGATAATCATTGGAGAGAGAAACTACAGACTACCCGGGTTCGATTAATGTTGTTTTGTCCATGATAGCAGATTGGGTTTCACTGGGGTGGATGAGGGGTTTGTGAAAGTGTTGTATGAATGTTTAATAAAATGCCGGCTATATTAATTTGATATTGTTTTTTCTATTTATATTATCTTCTACTCCTGATTGAAAGCAACCTAGTACATAGAAGTGTTACATAACGATGTAGATATACAGCTTGTATACGTTTCTGAACATGAAATCAAACGGCGTATCGTACGTGTCTTCCCGCTCTCTGGCAGGATTGTCATTTCTCACTTTGTTCGACTATCTATATATTTTTTTCTTTTTTTCTGCTTTTTTTTCACTTTTTACGACAGTTGTCATTTTTTTCGAGTGTCTTTTTTTGTCCGTTTTGTTTCAACAGCTCCGGACCTGTCGTTTGTTTGACTTTTTTAGAATCTTAGAAAATAAGATGGACATATTAACTATGTAGATTCGGCTCGTAAAGGTGAAGTGTTTTGAGAACCAGGAAAAGTGCTATATAAATAACATGTAATATTAGTATAGTTGCTGAACGTGAAATATAAGAGGTAACCTACGTGTCTTCCCGTTCTCTGACTGGCGCCTCCCCTCTCTGGCGGGATACACCGGCAGCACGGAGACGGTGTACGGCGTGTCGGGCAGAAGGTTCCTCAGGATGATGTTCGTGGTTCCTGCGGGGACTTGCTCCTGTTCACAGAGATTCAGAATAAAGAGTCATTGAGATCAGAAGTCTCCCAACAGGCTGCCGGATCTGTTTTCATCCGGAAACATATGTCAAAGTCCAACAAATTCAAATCTCTGGGGTCATAATGTCGGATACAAAAATATCCCCCTTTAAGCACAAAATTAAGTCAATTCAAAACAGGCAATTAACCAATTAAGACAATCTGAGCAGCAGTTAAGTAGTTGTTATTTCATCAGAGTCGTCTAAAAGCTGCAGGAACTTCTTTCAGTTAAGATTCACAGCGTAGTATTTTATGCATAAATGTGTTTTTCCGTGACTTTGTGTAATTCTTCCTCAGAGTCTCACCATCTCCTCTCGGCCCCCGGCTGCAGGAACGAAGAACACTTTGTAGAGTCGGACGGCTCCATCCGCGGGGTCCCAGTTGACCTTCAGAGAGGTCATGGTGGGGTCGCTCACCCGCAGGTTCTTCACCCCCCCCAGAGGTCCTGGACAAGAGATAAGATAAGATGGATCGTTATTAACCCCGTGGGGAAATTCAGTAATTTAACAACAGGGTGAGAATGAAAAACAGGGCAGCACAGATTCACACAGATTAGAGATGAATATTAATTAATGTGGATTGTGTGTATATATATATATATATTTGTATATATATATTTGCAGTTTTGTATTCGGGTTTGTGGGAAACGGTATTTCAATCACAAACTGAAAGGTTGACAATAAAGATGGCTTTGACTGAAAGATACAATTAAAATGATATACAGTTAAGTAACTTTAAAATAAGAAATGAATTAAAGTGAACATACTGTGTATATATATATTTGGGTCATATATAAGATGTGTGTCGGTAAAAGTTATTTGAGTGTATCTTATGTCCAGTACTTGTGTCACATTGCGACCCCAGAGGGCAGGTTTAAGAACATTATTGTTTAACTTTCACAAGGTCGGACTGTCTAGGACTTTTTTCCGTCAGCGTTGTGGTCTTACGTGTCTTGCCGTTCTCGGTCATGGTCTTGCCGTCTCTGCCGGGGTAAACAGGAACCAGAGAGACGGAGTAGAGCGTGTCGGGCTGCAGGGAGCGGAGCACGGTGCTGGTGGTTCCTGCAGACACTGTTTCCTGAAGTAAACAAATCACACACATCAGCTGCTGACAGACACACACACACGGAGACAGACACACACACGGAGACAGACACACACACTGACAGACACACTGACAGACACACTGAGACAGACACACAGACACAGACACTGACAGACACGGAGACAGACACACACACTGACAGACACACACGAGACAGACACACTGTTCACACACACACACTGAGACAGACACACACTGACAGACAGAGACACTGACAGACACACACGGAGACAGACACACACACTGACAGACACACACAGACACACACTGACAGACACACACACTGACAGACACACACACACACACACTGACAGACACACTGAGAGACAGACACACACTGAGACTGACACACACTGAGACTGAGACACGCTGACAGACACACTGACAGACAGAGACACTGACAGACACACACGGAGACAGACACACACACTGACAGACACACACAGACACACACTGACAGACACACACACACACTGACAGACACACTGATCGACAGACACACACTGAGACACACACTGACAGACAGACACACTGACAGACACACTGAGACAGACACACACTAACACACACACTGACAGACACACACGGAGACAGACACACACTGAGACACACACACGCAGCTATGGCAGGATGATCAGCTTCAAGAAGGCCTTCCTGTGCGTTCTTTACAAAATGACAAGTAAAAAACAAACAACAAATTCCCCTCAGATTATTTGTTAAGAACTTTAAAAAAGTCCATGCAGCAGAATATAACATTTAAACAGGTTAATAAACAGGAGGTCAAACAATAAATCAAATCAAATAATGGTTTCTCTCCGACAGACGGCGGAGTGAATGCAACGATATAAAGCCCCGTGAAACAAATGTTTAAGTTTCCACCCCTTGTTGTTGAATACCAACTATGTGATATATATATATATATGCTGTTAATACCTGCATTATAAAACGGACAAGTCAAATCAAGCAATGATTGGTTCGTGATATACTGAGCGTATACCACGGGTAGAATTGTAAGTTACTTTTCACAACAAGTCAGTATCCCTCCGTCTTCAGACTGGAACAAGAAAGCAGCGGAGAAGCAACGGGCAGAAACCCTCCTTTCACGCAGCGCTCCAGACATAGACATCAGACGGCGACACATATTCAGTGTTCCTCTGGCATCAGGGCAGGATATCTAGATACTTCCCAAGGTTTGACTTAATGAATTGAGCTACTTTTAAAGCAAGCAACGTTGTTTTCAAATCTGTAATCAAAGAGGTCCGCAAAAACACTATCGACCAATCAGATTGCTTGATTTGACTTGTCAGTTTTATATATTTCCATTTCTTCCGTTACGAAACAAACTTACAAAGCATAAGATGGAAACATTTAAGATTAACTTGGACCCCCGGGGGGTCTCGCTATGGAGGAGTGGATTGAGCAGTGCCTCTCTCCAGAGAGCCCCTAAAGGACGACATGCAGAGCTACGTGACGAGCAGGCAGACCAACTGGAGAAGTAGCACCATTCAAAAGCTTTCTGATGGGGTCTTGAAACAAAGCAGAGACATGATGAGCGTTAGTGGCCACAGGTGCGAAAGCTCTCTCCAGAGCTGCTGGAAGCCCAATCTCAGGGACCGGAGAAAGTGGAGCAATATTCTGACCACGCCGAGCAACAGCCAGAACAACCTCGCCGAACCTCGCCCCTTAGCTGTGATATGTGACAGGGACGGGTGGCGCAGTGGTCTGTGCGTTTGATCATCAGATCAAGGGGGCGTTGGGGAACTCCAGTTCGAAACCCGCTCCCGCCCCACTGCGTCAGGCCGTTGTGTCCTTGGGCAAGACACTTCACCCGAATTTTCTCCTGTGGGTATTGTCCACAGTAGATGACCATTACATGTATGTGTAATGTGTATTTGTAAAGTGCTTTGAGAGTCATTGATAAAGCGCTATAATAAATATAAGGATTATTATTATTATTACATAATGAGCATATACCACGGCCTGTCGTGAGCTATTGCTTAAATATATACCTGGCTGCTAAATCTTCAGAACTGTTACAGTATTTTGCGTAATTTCTTTATATTTTATTATGCAGGCTTCTTAGTTAACATCAAGCTGTCTTTGGCTCTTTTCTGCTGTAACAAATGTACATGTCCCCTCTGTGGGGCTGTGACGTGCCGTCGTGTGTGTGTGTCTTTCTCTCTCCCTCTGATTCCCCAGGTGCTCCCTCTCCCCAGGTGCAGCCTCTCCCCAGGTGCTCCCTCTCCCCAGGTGCTCCCTCTCCCCAGGTGCTCCCTCTCCCCAGGTGCAGCCTCTCCCCAGGTGCAGCCTCTCCCCAGGTGCAGCCTCTCCCCAGGTGCTCCCTCTCCCCAGGTGCTCCCTCTCCCCAGGTGCAGCCTCTCCCAGGTGCAGCCTCTCCCCAGGTGCAGCCTCTCCCCAGGTGCTCCCTCTCCCCAGGTGCTCCCTCTCCCCAGGTGCAGCCTCTCCCCAGGTGCAACCTCTCCCCAGGTGCTCCCTCTCCCCAGGTGCAGCCTCTCCCCAGGTGCTCCCAATCCTCAATCAGAGCCTCCATAAAGGACCTGAGGAAGGCTGCAGTCGCTCTCTCCTTCTCCTCGGGCTGCATCATGTCTCTGTGTGAGGCCTGTGTTCTTGTGAATCGTTAGATGTGCTCCAGTTTACCTTTTCGTGTATTGTTTATTTTAGTTTGCTTTGCAAGTTGGCTGGTGAGCCCTTTTTCTTTTGTCCATTAAATCCTCACTTTGTGGCTTCAGTACAGCTTCCTCTCCTTTTTCTCTCGCCCGGTTATTTGGGTGTTTAGTTACTTCCCTTTGTCCCCCTAGTTAGGAGGGAACGTAACAGGGACGAATAAAGGTACTCTGATTCTTTAGCCCGACACACTATGGAGCAGTTGTTATGGTTACAGAGGACTTTAAAATGTCCTGTCTTCAAGCACAAAGGTGAAATGTGTCTTCCTGCTAGGGATGCTCCGATCGCCAATTTCGGGGCCGATCGCTGGAATCAGTATCGGCCGATACCGATCAAGTGGGCGGGGCCTAAATGGAAGATTTCAACTTTAAATCTTCCATTTAAAGTGATGTTTAAACTCAGTTAATGCTCATTCACTGGAGCTTCCACAAACAATCAACTTAATTATTACATTCAAATGATGTACATTATTCAAGTTTACATTCACTTTGGAGAATAACACGGGAGAGATGAGCGGAAGCGCTCTCTGTTCCTCTCTCCCCCCTCTCTCTCTCCCCCCCCTCTCTCCCTCTCTCTCTCTCTCCCTCTCTCTCCCTCTCTCTCCCCCCCTCTCTCTCCCTCCTGACAGCCTGTCAGTATCTCATGCAGCTCACTGATCCAGTAATGAGTGACCCGACTGAAGAATAAATACATGTATAACTAGTGTAGCTTGTTCCAGAGGTAGATACAATAGCAGTGTGTGAGGTCTAACTCTTGTGTGTTTCGCTCACCGGTCCGTCTCAGCGGGCGGAGCTGTAGGATTTCTGCTTCACGTTGCATTCCGCTATTTTACTGTCTTTTTCGGACACCTTAAAATACTGCCAGACCGGTGAAGCCATGATGGCGAGCTTGTTTTTCCGCACACAGAGAAAAGTGTCATGTATTTTACGTCATGCGATCGGCTCTCGCGATCGGCATGTTTAGAGAGCACCGATCGATCGGTAGAGAGTGAGTATCGGCCGATCTCGATCGGTGACCGATCGATCGGAGCATCCCTACTTCCTGCAGACACTGTTTCCTACATTAATAAAAACAAATCACTCATCAGCTGCTGACAGAAGACAGACAGATAAGATACAGTTATCATCCAATAAAACATCATGTATCATCAGCGTAGATCCACACCCTAACAAACATCGTTTTCTGTATTTTTGCACTATTCCCGTGGAAATGTACAATTTTTCGAACTGTTCCGATGTGTTCCACGTTACAATACCACCTGTTGTTTTGTTATCATTCTTCCTGATAGGTCTCTATTTCTACCAATAAAACATCATATCATCAGCGCCTCTGCTTATTTGCACTATTCCCAAAGTGGAGATGTACCTTCATCCTTAATATTCCTTCATTTCTATTACATTCCAATGTGAGTTACAGCAAGACCACCTGGTTCACAACCATTATGCCTCTCGACCTCTACACACGCTCAGCTGACAGGAAGTGGTCCTACCATGGTCTCAGCTCCTCCCGCAGCGGGGACATAGATCACCCTGTACTCCTTCACTCGCCCGTCAGCCGGCTCCCAGCGAGCGTTCAGAGTCGTCATGGTGGGGTTCAACACCTGCAGGTTCCTCACCCCCCCCAGGGGCTCTGAGCGGGAGCAAAACACAGCCGGTTACTACCAACACTTTATACACATATATGGCAAGGCAAGTTTATTTAAATAGCGCTTTTCAACACAAGGCAATTCAAAGTGCTTTACTAAAGACATTAAGAGCATAACACACATCAGAAACATTCAGCAGAGATAATAAAACGTGAACACATGAATAACAGTTACAGTGCAGCGTGAGATGTGAATAGTTCCATTAAAAGCTAAGTGTTCAGTCTGGATGTAAAAGTAGTCGAGTTGCAGCGGACCGGCAGCTTTCTGGGAGTTTGTTCCAGAGATTTGATAATACCCCGAACCACATTCTCTCACCCCTCTACCTCTAGTCTTCCTGTGAAGTTATAGTTATTTTGACACTTTTCTAACCTTTTTATCTTCCTTTCATCCTTCTCTTTCATCCATTGTGCATCCCCAGACAACACACGTTTCACTGTTACCTGAACCCATCTGAATGTGTTTTAAGCCATACTAGTGAGTATTCATTTAGATTCTGAAAGGAGGCATACCTATTTCAGTGGCCAACAGCTGTCTACATTGGCCTGCGAGGTATATCAGCAGAGAAGGGTCATTGAATCTAGGATTATTCAAAGTCTGGGGGACGAACATGCAATACATAATATAATACTGTATCAGGTCAGGAGGAGTTCAGCTACATGCAGTTTGAGGAGTCGATGAGCTGTAAGACTCTCTTAGTCTACAGGCATTACACTATTGACTGCTTTGGTGCAAGGAGATGTGTCTCTTATAATGCTGTGCAGCGATATCATATTTAACTTCAACCAGCTCTGTGTTTTATTGATTCTTCTTTGTCTTATTCTTTAATGATGTCAATCAATCAATCAATCAATCAATCAATGTTTATTTATAGCCCAATATCACAAATGTTACATTTGTCTCAGTGGACTTCAGTTTGTACAGAATATCAGTATGACAATACGACACCCTCTGTCCTTAGACCCTCTGTCCTTAGACCCTCTGTCCTTAGACCCTCTGTCCTTAGACCCTCTGTCCTTAGACCCTCTGTCCATAGACCCTCTATTCTTAGACCCTCTGTCCTTAGACCCTCTGTCCTTAGACCCTCTGTCCTTAGACCCTCTGTTCTTAGACCCTCTGTCCTTAGACCCTCTGTCCTTAGACCCTCTGTCCTTAGACCCTCTGTCCTTAGACCCTCTGTCCTTAGACCCTCTATCCTTAGACCCTCTGTCCTTAGACCCTCTGTTCTCAGACCCTCTGTCCTTAGACCCTCTGTCCTTAGACCCTCTGTCCTTTGACCCTCTGTCCTTAGACCCTCTGTCCTTAGACCCTCTGTCCTTAGACCCTCTGTCCTTAGACCCTCTGTCCTTAGACCCTCTGTCCTTAGACCCTCTGTTCTCAGACCCTCTGTTCTTAGACCCTCTGTTCTCAGACCCTCTGTCCTTAGACCCTCTGTCCTTAGACCCTCTGTCCTTAGACCCTCTGTCCTTAGACCCTCACATCGTCCAAGGAAACACTTCCGGAGAAAACCCACAGTTTAAAGGGAACATGGGAGAAAGCTCAGGGAGAGCAACAGAGGAGGGATCCCTCTCCCAGGACGGACAGACGTGCAGTAGATGCCGTGTGTAAATCCAAGAGATAATACATTTGCAGCATATAGACCGAATATTAGGAAATGCATGAGTGTATGTTGTGAGTGTTACGTCAAAACTGGAACTCTCGACCAACTCAAATCAAACATACACATCCCACCTTTAGAGCTCACTTAAAAACATGTGTGTTACATGTTGTGATCGTGGACCCCTGGTTTCTATATGTGACATGTATGTAGTAACGTGTTGTTTGCATTCTATCCTTCTCTTGTATCCTTTCGCCTCTATCCACTTCTCTCTCATCCTTTCTTTATAACTAATGCTGTTGATGTGATTTTAAAAAGGTGTCTGTTATCATCTGGACAACAGCTGGAAATGAGCAATGTCTCTCCACGACACTATGAACAAATCCACTAAACGAAATCCACAATGTTTTCTGTGTGTCTCTTACTGGTCTGTCCCTCTCCGGAGATGTCTCTGCTGACTCCTGTCGGATAAACGGCTGCCACCGTGATGGAGTACTGGGTCTCTGGATCCAGCTTCTGCAGGATCACGCTCGTCTTCTTCCCGCCAACCTGCGTCTGTGGACAGGAAACAGGAAGTCAGCTAAATGCTTTATATCTCTTCAGAGCGACGCGGCGTTCATCAACAGAGAGACGAGAGGCAGACACAGCTCGGACAGGTGTTCATGTTCACTGTCTCTGTCCTTTATGAATACAAGCTGCAAAAACTTCAGGATTTCTTCTACTTTTTCTCCCAAAACAAACTATATTTGATCATAAAATATTATAAATAATGCATAAAAAGATATGTAGTCTTCCTTTACATTTGCTTTATTCCCAACGTGGACATTTACTATTTACTATATTGATATTTTTGGAGCATTATCCCATTAAATCCCCTGTGAGTTAAAGACGTGGAAATGTACGATTTTCCTACGTTTTCCGAGCATTTTCCAACGTGTTCCTTTCTGAGGTGCAATACCACCTGGTTTATAGCTATTATTCTTCCTGGTAGTTCACTATATCTACCAATGAAATAACATATATCATCAGCGTAGAACCACACCTTAAATAATATATAGTTTTCTGTATATTCGCACCATTCCCAAAGTGGACATTTACCATTTTCCTACGTTTCCCATTATATTCCTTTGTGAGTTGCAGCAAGAGCACCTGGTTCACAACCATTATCCCTCTCAACCGTCACTCCACTTCATAATAAACTAACATTTATCATCAGCGTAGAACTGCACCTAACCCTAACCCTCAAGACCACCTGGTTTATCGTTATAATTCCTCGAAACACTTCACTATATTTACTAGGGATGTAACGATACCAACAACTCACGGTACGATAATATCGCGATAAAAAGTCCACGGTACGATATTTATAAAACAATTAAAATGTGAATTTATTTTTTGTATTTATTTTTTAACTTGAATTTGTTTTCATTATTAAATAATAAATCTGATTCGTGCAGCATTTTAGTAGATAGTAGTATTTTAAAGTGTCAGCAATATAATAATCAGACCCTGCAATAGAATAAATCAAGTTTCTCTTTAGTTTTAGTAACTCAACTCTCACTCACTCACTCACTCACTCACTCACTCACCACTCACTCACTCACTCACTCACTCACTCACTCACTCACTCACTCACTCACTCACTCACTCACTCTCACTCACTCACTCACTCACTCACTCACTCACTCACTCACTCACTCACTCACTCACTCACTCACTCACTCACTCACTCACTCACTCACTCACTCACTCACTCACTCAGCGTCATCAAGGTTATCTTTCAGGAATATGAGCATGTCCACATTTCCAGGTAGAAGCTGGGATGTTTGGGCGTTTGCAAAATCCCCTGCTGTGGAACAAACTCTCTCGCTTGGTACGGATGTTGCTGGGACAGAGAGATATGCTTTGGCCCTGGGTGACAGCAGTGGGTCAAACTGTGCATTGTCTCTCCACTTCAACAACAATACAGTTGTTGCCAAGAAGGTCAGGCTTATTGACAGAGATATAGATATACTGTTGGTACTTGTCAATGTCTCTAGGTGTGTACATGTAGCCTGTAAATACCATGTCCTTTTGTGTTATCTGTTGTGTTATGTTCATGTTGTAACCTACTTGCTGCCATGTTGGACAGGTCTCCCTTGAAAAAGAGATAGATGATCTCAATGGGACCATCTGGTTAAATAAAGGTTTAAAAAAAATAAAATAAATTGCGGTATATTTTGTCAGTCTCACGACGGTACTGAGACATTTATTTACCGCGATACCGCGATATTTGATATATCGTTACTTCCCTAATATTTACCAATAGAACATCATATATCATCAGCGTAGATCTGCACAAATAGAGTTCCATTCCCAAAGTGGACATTTTCCTACATTTCCCATTATATTCCTTTGTGACTTGCAGCAAGAGCACCTGGTTCACAACCATTATCCCTCTCAACCGTCACTACACTTCATAATAAAATAACATGTATCATCCACAGCGAACAGCACCTAAAGTCTTCCATTAATATTCGCACAATTCCCAATCCTATCTTCTATTTTCCTACATCTTTCTGCGCAGTGAGCAGACTCTGACACGAGTCACGACGGCAGCTGCTCTCCGTGAGCTTCAGCCAGATTCAAAACCGATGACACCATGATTCCCACTGTCATAACATCTCAGGGACACAATCAAATTCCTCTCGTACGTTTTCCTTTCAACTTATTTCCACCGTGGAGTCACGCTGCAGGAATGTGAGACACCTCGGCTCCAAACAAAACGTCAAAAAGTGACAAAGGACTCGGAGACAGCACTGGAGGCGAGCTGCTGAAATCCTTCAGGACGTCTCCGAGCATCTCAAGAGACTTGAAACCCTGACGATGGGAATGATGGTGAGTCTCATTAGAGGAGGATTTCAGATCACAGTTCATCGATCTGAGGAAATACTAAATATGTGTTTTGTCTTCAACGTCATGTTGAAGACAAAACACATATTTAGTATTTCCTCAGATCGTAGGAGTCGATCCAGACTGGGAGACATTTGACTTTAAGAGGAACGACTTTTCGAATACACTCCGATTTATTTATTAAATGTATAGTTATTTAGTTTACCAAAATATAACTTTGGTAGTTTGTTGGGTAACCTTTTGGTAAATCCTGTTTTTTAAAGGTTGTGTTCAAGGAGGTGTTTCATTTGTTTCACCCAAAAGCCTGTCCCTTATTGGGGATCAGTCTAAGTGTAAGTCTTTAACAGGTGTCGTTTTTTGGTTTATCATGTTTTTTTGGTTAAAAGAAATGTGTCCGTCTTTAATTATTGGGTCAAATAGCAGAAATGTGCAGGTAGTATTCATGCAATACAAAATAAGCTTTGTTATATTCAAAGCACTTCTGCGTTTCTTTAAAGTTGTCGTTATTTTTGGACCTTAAATCCAAAAAGCAACACTATTTTTTCAGCGAAAATCTGATTCTAAAAAAGGGGAATATTGTGAGTGTTGGCTCAAAGAAAGAATGGAAATCCTTCAAAGTGGAGGTCAATAAGACAATAAGTTCTTTAAATGTACTTTTATATTAATTGTATATAACTAAAGGTTAAATTGCATGAATTTAGTGGAACTTGTGTCCTTTTTCCACCTCTGGTTCCAAAAAACATCTATCTTTTCACAAATTCAACTTTTGTTTCAGTCCTTTATAAATAACTTTAACATTCCTTACTCTAAATTATCTATTCTGAAAAAACTCACAAGGATCAAATCGCCTTTTAATCCTTCAGCTTCTTTCCATGCTGAGTTTTATGTCTTTTTTCCCGGTTTGGAACATCCTGAAAGTGTTTCTCCAGAGGGACGGGGAGGCCTTCCCATCATTTGAAGCAGATCATAATTGATTTGTCTGTATGACTGCGCTGGGACAGTCTTCTGAAAGATTTAAAGCTCCCCATCACATTGAGATATCCATCAATGTGTCATCGAGCGAGTGGAAGAACGTTGGAGATGTTCCCGGTGGTCTGAGAGCACCAACACACCTCGTAAAGAGCCCAACAAAACCTACGACTACATGGGAAAATCCACCCTAAACAGGAATTCAGTCATATTGTTCCTCTAATCCGCAGAAACAGATCAGTGTGTTCAAATCAGTGTGAGAGAGAGAGGGAGGGATGTGTGTTCAAATCAGTGTGAGAGAGAGAGAGGGAGGGGTGTGTGTTCAAATCAGTGTGAGAGAGAGAGAGGGAGGGATGTGTGTTCAAATCAGTGTGAGAGAGAGAGAGGGAGGGATGTGTGTTCAAATCAGTGTGAGAGAGAGAGAGGGAGGGATGTGTGTTCAAATCAGTGTGAGAGAGAGAGAGAGGGAGGGATGTGTGTTCAAATCAGTGTGAGAGAGAGGGAGGGAGGGATGTGTGTTCAAATCAGTGTGAGAGAGAGAGAGGGAGGGATGTGTGTTCAAATCAGTGTGAGAGAGAGAGAGGGAGGGATGTGTGTTCAAATCAGTGTGAGAGCAGAGAGAGAGGGATGTGTGTTCAAATCAGTGTGAGAGAGAGAGAGGGAGGGATGTGTGTTCAAATCAGTGTGAGAGAGAGAGAGGGAGGGATGTGTGTTCAAATCAGTGTGAGAGAGAGAGAGGGAGGGATGTGTGTTCAAATCAGTGTGAGAGAGAGAGAGAGGGAGGGATGTGTGTTCAAATCAGTGTGAGAGAGAGAGAGAGGAGGGATGTGTGTTCAAATCAGTGTGAGAGAGAGAGGGAGGGATGTGTGTTCAAATCAGTGTGAGAGAGAGAGAGGGAGGGAGGTGTGTTCAAATCAGTGTGAGAGAGAGAGAGGGAGGGATGTGTGTTCAAATCAGTGTGAGAGAGAGAGAGGGAGGGATGTGTGTTCAAATCAGTGTGAGAGCAGAGAGAGAGGGATGTGTGTTCAAATCAGTGTGAGAGAGAGAGAGGGAGAGATGTGTGTTCAAATCAGTGTGAGAGAGAGAGAGGGAGGGATGTGTGTTCAAATCAGTGTGAGAGAGAGAGAGGGAGGGATGTGTGTTCAAATCAGTGTGAGAGAGAGAGAGAGGGAGGGATGTGTGTTCAAATCAGTGTGAGAGAGAGAGAGAGAGGGATGTGTGTTCAAATCAGTGTGAGAGAGAGAGGGAGGGATGTGTGTTCAAATCAGTGTGAGAGAGAGAGAGGGAGGGATGTGTGTTCAAATCAGTGTGAGAGAGAGAGAGAGAGGGATGTGTGTTCAAATCAGTGTGAGAGAGAGAGAGGGAGGGATGTGTGTTCAAATCAGTGTGAGAGAGAGAGAGGGAGGGATGTGTGTTCAAATCAGTGTGAGAGAGAGAGAGGGAGGGATGTGTGTTCAAATCAGTGTGAGAGAGAGAGAGAGGGAGGGATGTGTGTTCAAATCAGTGTGAGAGAGAGAGAGGGAGGGATGTGTGTTCTGGTAAATCTCACATTTTAAAAAACAGTGCTCGGACTAAATCCAATTAAGGTGTGAAACTTTAGAAAAACATGTTATAAATCTATTGTTCTATTGTGTGTGTGTTTTTATGATGTGTGAATTGTTATACATGTTGCATTTAAATTCAATGGCTAGAATAAAGGATCAACATTTTATAGATTTGTAATCAAAAATACCATATGAAAAAAGAAATAATAATAGTATCTGTTATTGATAATAATAATTATTATTTGTGATCTTTTAAATGCATTTCTTTGCAATATCTACTAACGCACTTTTAATTGCTGTTGTGTGTTAAAGTACAATATAAATACACTGGCGTTGACTTGCTTGCTGCAACAAGAAAATGTCCAACCAAGTTACTACTTCCACCTTAATTTGTGCAAAGGGCTGGTGGTTGCATACGCTGATGACTGCAATGTATTTTTAATAAAAAATAAATAACCTTAATGTTGTTTTAACTACTAGAAACAGGCAGTTTATTGCACTTTCTTCTGGTCTTTTAAATAGCGTTTTAAAAGTGTTTTGCAAAGAAATGTTAACCCTTCTTTGTGTGCAGTTGAAAACATAGAGTAAATAATACCTTCCACATTTGAATTGTGTGCAAAGGGCTGGTAGTTGCGTACACTGACGACACCACTGTATTGATAATCCCACAATCTTTCCCGGTGTTTTAAATACTTTAAATTGTGCAGTTTATTGCACTTTATTGTGGTCTTTTAAATGCATTTCTTATGCAAAGCGTAGATATCATAATTTGTGCAAAGAGCTGGTCGTTATATCCCAAATGTTCAGTTTGTGTCGCTTTAAATGCTATAAACCCAGCAGTTTACTCACTGTGAGCGGCTCTCCTCCAGTACCGGGGTTGTAGATGATTTTGTAATTCTGCACGGCGCCGGGAGCCGGGTCCCATTTCAGCGTCAGAGAAGACGTGGTGGCGTTAAAAACCCGCAAGTTTTTGGGAGGTTCCGCCGGCACTGGGAGCGAGAAGATTAACCCAGTGAGAAAAAACAGGAACATCAGAGCATGTGTTGGGTTAGCGATGGAGATGATGGTGAGGATGAGGATGAAGATGGCAGTGATGATGATGATGCTCCCACAATGATGCAGTTTTTAAAATAGCTGTAGGGGTAAATGTTAGGATGAAAGCAGCAGATCAGGAGCAGAGCTGGAGGTCAGTGACTTCTCATTCAGATCCTTTTAAAAGTGTAATATCTTAAAATCAATATATGTTTTTTATATTACAGTTAGCGCTAAATTGGGTTAATATAATCAAAAATGTCCCTTTAGTGTTTAGGGATATCAATTACTCAAAGATTGTAGGACATTTTGAATCAACTTTAAAAATGTGTGATTGTAAAAACGTTAGTCGAGGCGCCTTTCATAACAAACTTAAAGATTATAACGTACTTATTTGGGGGTAATACACATTTTGAGAATAAAACAAATAAAATGCAGGTTTGTATAGGAGTTGGAGCACTGGTGGGCAAAAGCTACATGCTAATCACGCTACATACAGCGTTAGCGAAGCAGCGGGTGGGCATGGCAAGCTGTAAAGCCCCACAGACAAAATAAAGCGTGATTCACCCACACACCAATCAGATGTGTTTCTCTGGATTTTACATTAAAACACTATTTAAGTGAGTTATGACATAAATGACTGCACAGCTTTCTGGCGTTAGCTAGCTAGCTCACATGTCAGTTATCTAACAACACTGACAAAAGCAACTGTACACCCGCCAGGCCACGTTATTATTAGGTAATAACAGCAGCACAGTGGGGGGTTTGTAGTCTAAACTGCAAGTGAAAATATTGTAGCCTACGGGTTATTATCAGTTTTGGTAATGCTAACATGCTAACATGCTAACGACAGGTGTGAAGATAGTCCGCTTTACTCTTCTACCATCTATTTGTATACCTACGCTGCAGTTTGGTAACGGAGCTAATCTTGTATTTGATCAGACTCAAATGTATATATGTTCATTTAATTCATTTCTTATTTTAACAGTTACTTGTAATTGTATCTTTAATTGTATTAATCTTGTGTGAACCCGTACTGTCCTGTTTTTCAATCTCACTCTGTTGCTGCTTAAACTCCTGAATGTCCACATAATGAATAGAGGTCCATCTTATCTTATCTTATTGTTACCGCCCGAACCATTGGCTGACTTTGCCAACGACTACGTGTCCGCAGTAACGTCGCTCGTAAAACAATAGAGCAATAAAGAAGTTTGTTGATTATACACAACATACATTTGATGAGACACTATTTTGGTGCTGTAACAAATACATTTCGATCGATATCTACAGTTTATTTTGGAATACAATTGGGGAAATACTAGATGAATTGATGAATTAGAGTAAATAAGAAGTTCACTGAGCCCCATCCCTACTGCGGAAACACTGAACAATAATGCAAAAAACATGCATGAACAACGATGTGAGGTGAACGCTGATGGAGGATGAAGAGAAGGAAACGTATTGTTATGATGAAATGGATAAAAAAACGATGACGATGGGATCCACACAAATCATGAACCTGTCTTATATCACATACCCTTCGGAGCGTCTAACACTGGAAAGAAACGTTGAGAAAACAACATGGTTATTATTTGAACGTCTGTTGGATAATATAATAATAATCTTTCATACAACAAGTGCAGTCCAAAGTGCTTCACATAGACATTTCACAGATAATTGATATCACACAGAATACAGCTACCAGTAGAAGAGAGTGAAATGTGTGTGTTTTCAGGAGATAGTGAGGGTGCTTACGTGTTCTCTCGTTGCCCATCAGGTCTTCGCTCTCGGACTCGTCGGGGTAGATGGCCGTGACGGTGACCGAGTACTCCGTGTCCGGGTCCAAGTTCTGAAGAACGTTAGACGTCACGTCGCTGTTCAGGATGGCCTGAGGACAGAGAGAGAGAGAGAGAGAGAGAGAGAGAGGAAGAGGAGAGAAGAGAGAGAGAGAGAGAGAGACGAGAAGAGAGAGAGATGAGAGAGAGAGAGAGAGAGAGGAGGAGAGAGGAGAGATAGATAGAGATATAGAGATTTATACATACGAGAACAGAGAGAGACAGAGGGAGAGATAGATAGATAGACTATCTACATATCGGTAGGACTCCTTCTGTCGCTCTCTCTCGAGCTCTCTCTTCTCTCCTCGCTCTCGCTGAAGCGGAGGGTTTTTATTATTTGGAGGAGGACTTGACAACCTGTGTTTAAGTTGTGTAGCCGGAGAGCCTTAGTGTTTGGAGAAGATGGGTTTTTGTTTCTAAGAACAAGCGAGAAGACGATAAAGATGAAGATGAAGAAGAAGAACAACAAAGACGAAGAAGGAGAAGAAGACGAAGAAGAGGAAGAATCCAATCCAACTTTATTTATATAGCACTTTAAAACCTCCGGACCAAAGTGCTGTCCAGAGAGACACTTGACAGACACGACCTCACAGCTCAGCTCACAAAACATAAACATACAATCACATAAAACATACGAACACAAAACAAACCAGAATAAACGTAACAATTACAAAATAAAAACAACCATATAGTAAAAACAATAGACCACTGAAAGCAAATCAAAGCAACAATCTACTTGTTTACGAATGCTAAGGAGAAGAGGTGGGTTTTAAAAACAGACAGTGTGGGAAGATGAAGAAGATGAAGAAGATGAAGAAGAAGTGTTCTATGTGTTGGAAGAAGGAGTTGACAACCTGTGTTTAAGTTGTGTAGCCTTTCTAAACTCAGGATCATGAATGCATACGCTCCATCTATACGGGCTGAACCAAGTGTCCAACTTACAAACTGTGGGTTCTGCTCGCCCCTCTTGTTCCATCCGATGCGATAGAGGGCCACGTCGGGGGCGCCGTGCTGCCAGGTGGTCCTGAAGGAGGTCTGGGTCACCTCCGAGAACTGGAGGTCCTTCGGAGCGGGAACAACATCTGAGCACAGAGACAGAGAGTCAGCCTTTCTGTTTTCATCAACCGTGTTTCTTTAAAGGTCTCCTCTCATGCTATTTCCAGCTTATAGCATAGGTCTCAGATATATAAAAAACATCAAGTGTGGTCAATATAGTCAATACATACAAAAATGTGTGCTAAAATATGGTTTTAAAGTTGATTTCTTTAAATAGTGTATTAAATAATATTAAATATATAATTTTCTTTTTATAAAAAAAGTGTTTTTCTCCAACGTGTCTTGTGTGTTTGTCTGCACACGTCCTTGAATGTTTCATCAACCATGTGAAACCCTTCATAACTTCCAAAAACACCTTTTAAATAAAGTTGTATATTTCTTTAACTCTTAAAGGTCTCCTATTATATTATTTTGAGGCATATATTATAGGTCTCAGATATATAAAAAAACATGTCTATGAAGTGTTTTGCTCAGAATATCAAAACAGATCATTCATTTTAGAAATCCCTCATATCCCTCTAAAGTGCTGATTCTGGGTCTGTAGCTTTAAATTAAAAAATAAATAAGAGATAGCTAGAAACTCAGCTAAATGCTGCCGTGATTAAACTCCATATCATGTTCCAAACCACATCAAGGATCCTCTCTGAAACAGGATGGAGCTCAAACTCTTTCTCTCCCTCTGGTTTACCACAAGGTGACTTCCTGCTTCTTCACACACACTCTCTCCAGCACAGGTTAGCTCTGAGTGTTAGCATGCTAATGTAAACACAGACCATATTACTTCCAGAACACGTCTCATTGTTTCTGACAGCAACGTTTCTGATTGGCCCGTGGGTGTAAAGCCCGCCCACATTTTAGTAACGTTGTAATGACGCAGCAAATCTGGATCAGCTCTGTTGTTCCCCCATTTTTAGAGATGTGGGTACGGAGGAAAAGAGAGAGGGGTTTATTTCCTGACACTTTGAGAGTCTCCTGACACACCGGGGAGACACCGGAGACTCATCGGGGACACACCGGGGACACACTGGGGACACACCGGAGACTCATCGGGGACACACCGGAGACTCATCGGGGACACACTGGGGACACACCGGAGACTCATCGGGGACACACCGGGGGGACACCGGGGACACATAGTTGTGTTTAAAAGACATTCAAAAGTGCATATTGCATGATAGGAGACCTTTAAAGGGTGTACTGTGTATCATCTGACCTGTGATGGCGGTGCCCAGCAGGGGGTTGATGGGACCCTCGTCGTACACGGGGGTCACGGCCACATCGTACTCCGTCTGGGAGATGAGGCCGGACAGATCCAGCGTGACGATGTTCCCGTCTACTTCAGCCTGCAGGAGACAACATGTAGTATTACATGATAAGCTATTACCCTACATACCTCTTATTGAGATGTCTTTGCTTTCAGTGAAAAAAGATCCTTCTCTGCCTCAAAGGCTTAACACCAAAAACCACCAACATTTGAAGTCTAAGCTTTATTATAAGTTTTATTTCCCTTTCCTCTTAGTTCTTTTGTGTGTTGTCTTCTGTGCGTACGTAAAGACTCAGTGTTTAAAAGAATCATTTCAGGGTAGAGATCCAGGGTAAGAAGATGCTCTGGTGAATAAAACGCTGAGTCATGTCTCCTCAGTTGACTTCTCCAGCTTGGCACGGTAAGCAGAATAAAATCTCTCAGCAGGCATTAATCCAAAGTGTGTTTCTCTTCTTCTGCAGACACAGGAAGTCTTCATCAGTAATCCTTAAGAGGAGCCGATCCGCTGCATGTCGTCCATCACAGCTTCCAAGCACCAAACCTCGACCAAAACAGACTGTTTTTCCTCCGCTGACATCCCGGAGACAAACGATGAGAAGGGTTCGGATCCAGCGCTCCCTCCCTACGGCTTTCTCAGAAACATCCTCCAGAAGAGAGGAGGAAGTCTGGACTCTTTCCAGAACAAACAGAACTGCAAGCGTCACTCTAAATCTGGTTTCATCACAAAGGTCATCTCTTTGGTCCCAAAAGGAAAAGGTGGTTAGATTCGGAAGATAAATAAAATGGTGTTACGCCAAAACCCATGTTTATTTTGTATTTTACTTAATAGCCATACTCACAAATGAAGCTGTAATGGGTGTTTATTTTAATTATCAATGTATGAATAATAACATTAATAAATGTGTTTATTTGTGAGTGTTTATTTTGCAAATTGGTTTTTTAGGCTCCGACTAAAGTCTTGAATTTCCAACTCATTTTACACTGATTGATAATGAAACATCTTCCCAATTTGGGATCAAAATGTACATCTAATCTTATATTATCTATTCTTATCTTAAACTAAACATAGAAAAGCATCAAAATCTGAAAGATGTAACTAGTTTTCTGTCCATATTCTACCATCTTTTGCTTTGTATTTCTCAATGAAAACGATCTAAAAGACACATTTTTAAACCTTAAATCTGGTGCATTTGGTGCATTTTAAGAGTGTTTTTTGTTGATCTTTATATTTAACAAGCTGAATCAGAGAATGATGGGTGTTTTTGCATCCAGAAAGGTGAGTAAACTAATTACCTTAAAAGCTAAATAATCACTTAATGTTCATATTGTAGTTTTGCTTTGTTCGTATGTATTTCTCAGTGAAAACGTTCTAAAAAGACACATTTTCTGACCTCAAATCTGGTGCATTTTAACCCTGGATTCCTGATTAAACAGACGTTGGCTCAGCTCACCTCCTTCAGGTCTCCCTCGTCTGGTTTGTAGGTCACGATGTATCTGCGAACAGCTCCAGGAGCGGCGTCCCAGCGGAGCGTCATGGTGCTGTGAGTCACGTCCGTGATCGTGAGGACGCCGACGGGAGGCACCGGCACTGAGGAGGAGATTAAAAAAACATCAGACTGAAATACAGATGTGGGAATAGTTTGTTAATACTTTAGTACATTTTTCTGCTTTCATTATTTTACTCCACTCTTTATTTTCTGCCGACTTTTTAATTTGACTTCTTACATGTTGAACTCAAATACCTGTACTTTCTACTTCTTACATGTTGAACTCAAATACCTGTACTTTCTACTTCTTACATGTTGAACACAAATACCTGTACTTTCTACTTCTTACATGTTGAACTCAAATACCTGTACTTTCTACTTCTTACATGTTGAACACAAATACCTGTACTTTCTACTTCTTACATGTTGAACTCAAATACCTGTACTTTCTACTTCTTACATGTTGAACACAAATACCTGTACTTTCTACTTCTTACATGTTGAACTCAAATACCTGTACTTTCTACTTCTTACATGTTGAACTCAAATACCTGTACTTTCTACTTCTTACATGTTGAACACAAATACCTGTACTTTCTACTTCTTACATGTTGAACCCAAATACCTGTACTTTCTACTTCTTACATGTTGAACACAAATACCTGTACTTTCTACTTCTCACATGTTGAACACAAATACCTGTACTTTCTACTTCTTACATGTTGAACTCAAATACCTGTACTTTCTACTTCTTACATGTTGAACTCAAATACCTGTACTTTCTACTTCTTACATGTTGAACACAAATACCTGTACTTTCTACTTCTTACATGTTGAACACAAATACCTGTACTTTCTACTTCTTACATGTTGAACTCAAATACCTGTACTTTCTACTTCTTACATGTTTAACTCAAATACCTGTACTTTCTACTTCTTACATGTTGAATCCAAATACCTGAACTTTCTACTTCTTACATGTTGAACTCAAATACCTGTACTTTCTACTTCTTACATGTTGAACACAAATACCTGTACTTTCTACTTCTCACATGTTGAACTCAAATACCTGTACTTTCTACTTCTTACATGTTGAACTCAAATACCTGAACTTTCTACTTCTTACATGTTGAACTCAAATACCTGTACTTTCTACTTCTTACATGTTGAACTCAAATACCTGTACTTTCTACTTCTCACATGTTGAACTCAAATACCTGTACTTTCTACTTCTTACATGTTGAATCCAAATACCTGTACTTTCTACTTCTTACATGTTGAACTCAAATACCTGTACTTTCTACTTCTTACATGTTGAATCCAAATACCTGTACTTTCTACTTCTTACATGTTGAACTCAAATACCTGTACTTTCTACTTCTTACATGTTGAACTCAAATACCTGAACTTTCTACTTCTTACATGTTGAACTCAAATACCTGTACTTTCTACTTCTTACATGTTGAACCCAAATACCTGTACTTTCTACTTCTTACATGTTGAACTCAAATACCTGTACTTTCTACTTCTCTCATTTTCCAAACAGCTGGTTCCTTTAGTCTGAATGTGTGTTTGATGCGTGATCATTATTCTTTAGAGTCATTGCGTGCCTATTGATTTGAACACGATCCGTGTATCCATCATTTCCTGGTCTTCTCTAAAGAAGAGGGACCAATGGAAACGTTGTCATGTTGCCGTTGTTCAGCATGGAAACATTCATTAGCTAACAATGACATTATTGTTCTATTAATATAAAGGGAGGTCAGGTACTCTTTAAAACAGCCGCTAGTTATGGGTACTTTTTACTGAAGTACATTTCAAAGCCTCTTTACTTTCAAGTTTAGTCAGTACTTCTACTTTCACCAGAGTATTTTCAAACACGAGTATCTGTACTTCTACTTGAGTGAAGGATGTGTGTACTTTTGCCATCTCTTCTGAAATATAATATCACACTCCATCACTGTCTGAGTATGTTTGAAGAAGCCAGGACTTTCTGAAGAGCTGAAAAACAGACTTTTTTAAAAAAAGTGGATTTTCTGTTTTTGAACTGCATCTGTTTTCTATCTTTGAGCTCCGAATCCAAACACTCCAGGAAGACAAAGACGTGATCCAGAGCTTATAAAATATCTGCTGATATAGAAATGAAAGTCAGATGAATTCTGGTAAAGTTCTTAGGTCCCAATAAAAGGAAGTTGCATTTTAAAAAGATCTTGAAAACATCTCGTAGTAGACATAACATAGGAGTTATTCCCTGATATAAAACTCTTAATTAGCACTGATAGCTTGACTAACTATTTCATAAAACCAACAGAATTAATCCTATTACTTGCAATATAAATAATAATTATGACTAGTGATATTTTAAGAGATGAAGTAGTAGTATACACTCTTTGACTGAAATGTGAGTATATATATTTTAGAAATATTGCCATGTTTGTGTATCTTAGTAATAGGATATTTAGTTAGTTTTATTTTCATTTATTCCCTTTTTATTGTTGGGATGTTTTCAATATATTGTGAGAGAAATACTGCCAATGTCATTTTATATTCAATACAGAAGCTAACGTTCATTTTCAGGGTTATTTGAGTGTTTCTTAGCTGGCCGGCTCTGATGTGATTGGTCAACCGCTTAGAGATGTCCCGCCCCTTAGCCTATCACATACAATGTGTTGGAGCGCTAGCCAATAGGAGCGTGAGTATTACATAGTGATGCCAGTATGTTCAGGAAGTAAACAAAAGAGTCCAATGGAGGCGTTTCTGGGGGGGATACAGGGATTTTAGCCTTTGAAGACTATTTACATGCACTGAAACCTATATAACACACTACAGGAGAGGGAAAACCCACAAAAATGTTGCACAACGATCTGGATTTAGGTGGATTTTGGACTTTTTGAAGTTGTCTTATTAAACCAGTACACATGCAGCAACCTATTTTAACCTATTTTACTTTAATGATCAAATCGTGACTCACAGGTGACCCCTGTCCCCTCCAGGGCGTCGCTCGCTGCCTCTCCATACAGAGCGTACAGACTGATGGAGTACGCCGTGTTGGGAGTCAGCTGCACCAGCTGGACGTCGGTCACCTCTCCTCCAACACGAATCTGCACAGCAACAGAGAAAGGACATGTGAGAGAGTCTTCTTTTTTACTGAAATCCTTTCTGAACAAACCAGACTCTGATCCACCTGTGAAGAAAACACACACACACACACACACTTTCCACTGTATTAAAGATACATTTAAAACGTTGGCATTTGAAGCCAGTATTTTTGTAGAATTAGATTTGTATTTCTATTTGAGATGTTTACATTACATACTTTTGGTCCTGGGATGTATTAAAAACCAAGCCAGTGTTCATGTGATATTTGGGTCAATTTGGGTGCTTCCAACATTGGGTCAATAGTTGGTCCCTATACTTGAATTAAAGCTAACTCCATTAAGAAATACATTTCCCAGTTTAGTTTGGAAGATTCAGACCTGATTAATTAGTTTTGGATGTGAATCAAAAATATCTGCAGCCGATAACTGAAAGCCTTAAATCAGGAGGGACTTGTAGCTGCAAATGCATGCCAATAGGTCTAGGTTGTTTGGCCTTGAAGTGTGTACTTAACATACATTTTTCAAAGAGTTGCACAGCTGTTGAATAATTTTTTTTCCAATATCTCACAGTATTACAAATTGGCTAACATCCTATTATGATCCTCTAAATGATAACAAGCTGTGCTAAAAAAATACACATCAGTAATTCATGTCAAATGAATCTTAAAGATATCTAACGCTCATTATTTTGAGGTTCTGATAAACACTCTGGGTGCATATTTTCCAGCAGAGACCACCTCTCTGTACATTAAATCATCCCTCTGCTGTGTAATTGCACATGCAGTTTAACACCAGCCGTTCCACTCGTTTAGCATCTGCTCTCTTTATATCATCCGATGACTTCAGTCCTCATGAGCTAATCCTTCCCATTACCCAGTGAGCGTCTGACCGCTCTGCTAAAGGTCCACTTCCTGTTCTGAAAACGTGCTCATCATATCGCCATCTGGAAGTATTCAGGCTGCACGAGCAGAAGCCCACTCTTATAAAGTCAATGTGGAAACGCTGAGCACACAAATTAAGATGTGTGTCAGTTAATGGGGCTCCATGTGAGTGTTACTATCCCTGGCGTTATAGTGTTCTGGTTTAGCTGACATTGTCGGGACCATCTGTTTACAGTCACATTATGGGGACAATATGTTGGTACCCCAGGTAAATTATATATAATTTAAAGGCAGAGGTAAGTCCAAGTAAGGTTTGATGGCGTTTTAACGTACTCGGTTTACTGACATCGTTGGAACCATCTGTTTATAGTCACATTAAAGGGACTCTCATATGGGGAAAAGATGTTGGTACCCCTGATGAATTATTCAATTTTAGTAAGTAAAGTTAAAATTCTCAATAAATACTTAGATTCCCATCATTTAAAAGCAGAGGTAAGCCAAAGTTCAATGGCGTTTAGCGTACTTGTTTTGCTGACATTATGGGGACCATCAGGCACTTTATGGGGACTCACATTGAGGGACAAAATACTGGTACGCAAGGCAAATTATTTTAGTAATTTTTGTTTTATGGCTAAGCTTAGGATAAAAGTTATATACCCAAAAAAATACAGATGGTGTTTAACGTACTTGTTTCGCTAACATTGTGGGGACCATGTGTTAACAGGCACTTTATGGGGACTTTCATTGAGGGACAAAATACTGGATGATAGTTTTAATGTTTTTTTAAAGTTTAGGGAAAAAGTCAAATTTCTCTCATTTTGCTTTTAATTAGTTCCACCATATCCCCTGAAAACCTCACAAGTTGGATTTAAAAGGTCTCGTTACTCTACCTCCTGCTCCAGCTGAGGCTCGGTGGCGTTGGTGGCTCTGTACAGCATTATATATCCCGTCGCTCCCTCCGCTGCCCCCCATGTCACCTTCATGGTGGTTGAGGTCTCATCGTACACATTCATGTTCTTCACGGCTGACACTGACACTGAGGCGACAGAAACACAAAGTCAGAACGGTGAAAAGCACCATGTTACAGGCAAACATTCATCTTTTTGTCTTGGTTTGATGTTTTAATAGTAAAAATCCAATGCTTAGAAGTATTTTTGAAGTATTAGAAAAATATTTCTTGAACCAAAAGACTGACTGAGTGGGATGGGAATGACATTCTTCCTGATATTTGATATTTGGAGGTGGTTTTGGCACCGAGAAATGGATAATGATACAAACAGGCGAGAAACATCAAGGTCATATTTTAGAAAATCCCAGAAAGTCGCAAAGAGATCATCAAGTTTAATGCTTTTTGATGTGCAGAATATCTAGTATCACATTGTCCAGAAACAGCTTCTGGTTTTTGAAGATTTCTTTTTTTTCTGGGCTCAAGGATATTTCTGCTGGAGTAATCAGATTTGTTGGATGTTATAACAAGGTTTGTATGGGTTTTTACATGTGAGAGAATGTCAAAAACACACAGGGAAAGCATTGCTAGAAAAAAAACTGATAACCATTGTATAAAAAAGAATATAATCCAAAAGTCTGATAAGTCTAAATAAATTGGTAACACCATATTAGCAAGTTGTTTTAAAACCCTTTCTCAGGGTCACACAGGAAAATCTATTTCTCACTCATTTTAGAAATCAAATCTATATACTGTATGTTAGTCATATCATTAAAAGGGTTCATAACATACATTTCAAGGACTCTCCAGGCCCAATTCATTTTAATGTAAGGAACCAACATTGAATGGTTTCTGACACAAACCAAGATGGGAAGATGTTGAGTTAAAAAATTGACAAAACTGTGGGAAACAGACATCTAAACTTAGCCTATTAAGTAAAAATCAGACTTCAGTTTTCCTTTAATGCAGACAAACTTTATTGACCAACCTTCAAGGACCCAGAGGAACCATTGAAAGGCAGCCTTGGTTAAAAAAGCTGTTTGAAATTCGAAGAACATTCGGATTTCTTCCAAATAACCCTGTCGTTTTTTTGCATGAGAATGAGTTGAAGTAAAGAATGTAATGGAATAAATAGTCGTGTGAAATATCTTTAAAACTACGGGAATGATTAGACTCTCTTAGCACCAATAGAAAATGTTTTGAAAGCAAAATGTGTGGATATCTTTTTGGGCTTTTGAGGAGTGCAAACGTCTTCTCTCCTGACAGGCTTCACACACTTTATTTTGAAGACACTGATACACTGCAGGCAGGACATTATGACCTAACTGAGCGGTGTTTTAAATAATGACACTAAATAAAGCCCCGGCTGCTGGTGCCGCCTCACAATCACTTTCAGTGTTATGACAGTGGGAAAAGGCTCGTTGTTAAAATCAGCTGCACAAATAAAGCAAACATTAAAGGACAAATGAGCAAATGAAAGCTCTTATATCCGTGCACTTAACACGTTGTTAAAAAATATCAGTTTATTTAAGATATACGCACTAACCACAGCGCTGATAAATACTTTTTAACTGTTTGTCTGATTCCCATTCAGCCCACCACAGCTTAGCAGCAGCTCACACCAATGTATAATGGGACGTGGTGTTAGTGGTAACTCGCTCCCCGCCTTAGATCAGACGCTAAATATATGTCTTTGTGTAAACGGTGATTTGCAGGAGGGAAATAAGAGAGTAAACACGTTAGATGGACGTGTGTGAAACACGATAATGATACAGAGAAATCTAGTTGTTTATCGCACAAATTATACAGTGGAGGAAAGAAAAAACGCTTTCCCACAACAGAGCGATGACGCAATCCGCCTTTAAGGCTCAATGTTAGTCATGTCTGTCGCCCCAAAGGGCAAAAGGACGTCCAGAATGGGACATAAAAGGAAGTGGCGCTTCACGTCACCACCACTAAGCTAAAGGTGGCTAATGCTGGGCGTGATGACGTTTAGTCGTCTCACAAACTACTGTTATGCAAAGTTACAACACTTCCTGTTTCTGCCGAAGACAAGGAAAGTATTCCTAAAGCTTGCTTACACACATTAGGAGTATTCACATTTTTTGTAGAGTTTGTTGAGTCCAATTATCATATCATCATTTAAAATACTTATACTCTGATTGCCTTTTACTCTGTTAAATTGTATTTTTCGTCTAGTATGTGTTTAACAGAGACATGTTAAGGATTACAGGAGGGAAAAGGAAGTAGAAGGTGGATTAAATGGTAAAGAACTGGGTGGTTTTCTGGGTTAATGATGGGATGGAGGACCAGTTCCTCTCATGAATATATACTGGGACTGTAAGAAGAACTTCTTTCTCCTCTGAGGGTGAAGCTGCTTTCTTCCTGCATTTCAGATCCATTTCACTTGATTATTGACTGTCTTTATTACTTTATTAAATATAACAAAAACTTTGTCCTTGAATCATTTATCAGTTTCTCTTAAGAATTTCCTCTAAAGAGTTGAGGTAGAAAAGAGGAAGAGGAAACACTTACAGGTGGTCTCGGTGCCCTTCAGAGGCTCGCTGCTCACTTCGTCCAATATGGAGTGGACGTTAACGAGGTATTCGGTCAGAGGACCGAGACCCGTCAGCACCACGGAGTTCACCGTCCCGTCCACCAGCAGCTGAAATTAAAACATATCTGTTATTAAACAGTGGAGGGTAATTTCCCATCATTTGTTGTCTTTATTTATTAAAATAATTTCCCAATTTGGGATTAATAAAGTATATCTATATCTATCTATTGGCATGTGACTGAAAGAATATCGATTTTATTTAACTTTTGTATGGTTATTTCATGTGTGATGTTCAGGTGTATATCAGTATGTAGTGTCTCTACTTTAAAGAGTCCTCTCCTGCTGATGTTCAGGTGTATATCAGTATGTAGTGTCTCTACTTTAAAGAGTCCTCTCCTGCTGATGTTCAGGTGTATATCAGTATGTAGTGTCTCTACTTTAAAGAGTCCTCTCCTGCTGATGTTCAGGTGTATATCAGTATGTAGTGTCTCTACTTTAAAGAGTCCTCTTCTGCTGATGTTCAGGTGTATATCAGTATGTAGTGTCTCTACTTTAAAGAGTCCTCTCCTGCTGATGTTCAGGTGTATATCAGTATGTAGTGTCTCTACTTTAAAGAGTCCTCTCCTGCTGATGTTCAGGTGTATATCAGTATGTAGTGTCTCTACTTTAAAGAGTCCTCTCCTGCTGATGTTCAGGTGTATATCAGTATGTAGTGTCTCTACTTTAAAGAGTCCTCTCCTGCTGATGTTCAGGTGTATATCAGTATGTAGTGTCTCTACTTTAAAGAGTCCTCTCCTGCTGATGTTCAGGTGTATATCAGTATGTAGTGTCTCTACTTTAAAGAGTCCTCTCCTGCTGATGTTCAGGTGTATATCAGTATGTAGTGTCTCTACTTTAAAGAGTCCTCTCCTGCTGATGTTCAGGTGTATATCAGTATGTAGTGTCTCTACTTTAAAGAGTCCTCTCCTGCTGATGTTCAGGTGTATATCAATGTGTATTGTCTCTACTTTAAAGAGTCCTCTCCTGCTGATGTTCAGGTGTATATCAGTATGTAGTGTCTCTACTTTAAAGAGTCCTCTCCTGCTGATGTTCAGGGGTATATCAGTATGTAGTGTCTCTACTTTAAAGAGTCCTCTCCTGCTGATGTTCAGGTGTATATCAGTATGTAGTGTCTCTACTTTAAAGAGTCCTCTCCTGCTGATGTTCAGGTGTATATCAGTGTGTAGTGTCTCTACTTTAAAGAGTCCTCTCCTGCTGATGTTCAGGTGTATATCAGTATGTAGTGTCTCTACTTTAAAGAGTCCTCTCCTGCTGATGTTCAGGTGTATATCAGTACTTAGTGTCTCTACTTTAAAGAGTCCTCTCCTGCTGATGTTCAGGTGTATATCAGTGTGTAGTGTCTCTACTTTAAAGAGTCCTCTCCTGCTGATGTTCAGGTGTATATCAGTGTGTAGTGTCTCTACTTTAAAGAGTCCTCTCCTGCTGATGTTCAGGTGTATATCAGTGTGTAGTGTCTCTACTTTAAAGAGTCCTCTCCTGCTGATGTTCAGGTGTATATCAGTATGTAGTGTCTCTACTTTAAAGAGTCCTCTCCTGCTGATGTTCAGGTGTATATCAGTGTGTAGTGTCTCTACTTTAAAGAGTCCTCTCCTGCTGATGTTCAGGTGTATATCAGTATGTAGTGTCTCTACTTTAAAGAGTCCTCTCCTGCTGATGTTCAGGTGTATATCAGTGTGTAGTGTCTCTACTTTAAAGAGTCCTCTCCTGCTGATGTTCAGGTGTATATCAGTATGTAGTGTCTCTACTTTAAAGAGTCCTCTCCTGCTGATGTTCAGGTGTATATCAGTATGTAGTGTCTCTACTTTAAAGAGTCCTCTCCTCCTGATGTTCAGGTGTATATCAGTATGTAGTGTCTCTACTTTAAAGAGTGCTCTCCTGCTGATGTTCAGGTGTATATCAGTATGTAGTGTCTCTACTTTAAAGAGTCCTCTCCTCCTGATGTTCAGGTGTATATCAGTATGTAGTGTCTCTACTTTAAAGAGTCCTCTCCTGCTGATGTTCAGGTGTATATCAGTATGTAGTGTCTCTACTTTAAAGAGTCCTCTCCTGCTGATGTTCAGGTGTATATCAGTATGTAGTGTCTCTACTTTAAAGAGTCCTCTCCTGCTGATGTTCAGGTGTATATCAGTGTGTAGTGTCTCTACTTTAAAGAGTCCTCTCCTGCTGATGTTCAGGTGTATATCAGTATGTAGTGTCTCTACTTTAAAGAGTCCTCTCCTGCTGATGTTCAGGTGTATATCAGTATGTAGTGTCTCTACTTTAAAGAGTCCTCTCCTGCTGATGTTCAGGGGTACATCAGTATGTAGTGTCTCTACTTTAAAGAGTCCTCTCCTGCTGATGTTCAGGTGTATCTCAGTATGTAGTGTCTCTACTTTAAAGAGTCCTCTCCTGCTGATGTTCAGGTGTATATCAGTACTTAGTGTCTCTACTTTAAAGAGTCCTCTCCTGCTGATGTTCAGGTGTATATCAGTATGTAGTGTCTCTACTTTAAAGAGTCCTCTCCTGCTGATGTTCAGGGGTACATCAGTATGTAGTGTCTCTACTTTAAAGAGTCCTCTCCTGCTGATGTTCAGGTGTATCTCAGTATGTAGTGTCTCTACTTTAAAGAGTCCTCTCCTGCTGATGTTCAGGTGTATATCAGTACTTAGTGTCTCTACTTTAAAGAGTCCTCTCCTGCTGATGTTCAGGTGTATATCAGTACTTAGTGTCTCTACTTTAAAGAGTCCTCTCCTGCTGATGTTCAGGTGTATATCAGTATGTAGTGTCTCTACTTTAAAGAGTGCTCTCCTGCTGATGTTCAGGGGTACATCAGTACTTAGTGTCTCTACATAATACAGGAAAGTGAAAACCCTAAGAAGCAGACTATGCTTATTAAAGTTCCTGCATCTCCTCTTATTGCACACATGTATATGTATATTGTTCTTCTATGAATACTCCTGCTGCACAGTAATATTTGTTGAATCTTCTGGCAGCGAGCCCTGACCTCCACCCTGACCCTCCTTTTTGTAATAAAAAAAATTCCTTCTCTTGTTGCACCGGCTGTAAATCACTTTCTATAGGACCTGCACTAAATACCCAGCATGCAAATATATCATAAGCCTCATGTTGTTTCTCTCTACAGTCCAGGTTAAACACATGAGAGCAGAGAGCAGTGTGAGGTCCTTAAGCTAAAGTGGATCCAGTGGAAAACTCCTGGATTTCAGACGAGCCGAACGGATCCATCGGACACGAGCCAATAAAAGCTCAAAGCATGGAAAAGACCCAGCGCTGTGTTTTTAAAGAGTCGACTGACGGGGGGTTAAGTGTAAACTAAATGCAGGTTCAAAGAAAGCAAGAGGGTTTAATCCCTAAGGGGTTTTGGATAAAAGCCAGACCTGGGTGTTGGGAAACACTTTGTGAGGTTTGCCACTTAGGAGAGAATATTAAACAACAGGTGGGGAGGGGCGTAAACGTCTATTAATCTGCTTTGGTGTGACTGACAACCTGACATTATCTATTCTAAATCAACAGGAAGTTATAGATCTCACCTGAAGGGGACGAGAGTTATCTGTTAGAGTTTAAGGATTAACGGGAGCCAGAGGGAGGTATTTATCAGGCACACAAGATGCTTAGTTGATCAACAACAACAACATATGGTGGACGTAAAGTTTCTGAACATTCCTGATGAACTTCTATGAAACAGTGAGGTTTTTTAACATGTATCCCTGGAACAAATCGATCCCAGATGATAGATCCAGACATTAAACCCTTTAACCCCATTTAACTATTTAAATGTTGTTCAATATGCATTTGAACAACATGCATTTCTTGTATGAAAGGTGATATAAATAGAGTTTATTAATCAGAATAAGGATAATTTTATCCCGGTATTTGTACCAGTTGCTCCATTTTGAATAAATACAATAAAATAAAATCAAAATATATGGTACTACAATTTTTAAAACAAAAAATATGTATGTAATATACATTTTTGCTCAAAATACAGTTAAAACCCTTTACACACATTTAACAGAAGATATTCATGTAAATATCATATTATTTATTTAGTATTCGATTTTATTTTTATTTAAATTGTATTCTAAAATGCAGCAATTGTCAGAAAACCTTATTTTTATTAAAATATAGAATAAAGTACTCCGATTCTGATTCATTACAGCAGCACTAGAGACAGATGGAGGATGTTCCTCTCACCTCCTGCATCTCCTCTCCGGACACCTTCCTGTACGCGACCCGGTACATTTCTACTATCTATGTGTAATCTTTTCAGCAGCATTAGATGTTCCTCTCACCTCCAGCATCTCCTCTACGGCCACCTTCCTGTAGGTGACTCTGTACATGTCCACTGGTCCGTCGGGGGCCGTCCAGGTGGCCCTGAAGGAGCTGAAGGTCACCTCAGAGGTCAGCAGGTTGCTGGGCGCCGCCAGTTCTCCTCCTGAAGAGAAACGAATACGATCCAGTTCTCTGCTTTAAAAAATGTATTTCTCTACGACTGAGCTGTACATTTTCTTGTATTATTTACAGGTTTCAAGGCCTTTATTGTCATGTGTACAAAGCTACAGGTTAGTTATCATAATGAACATCTGAGGTCACAGGCTCCTCCAACAGTGCAATAATAATAATAATAATAATAGGAATATTGATATATATGCAGGTGAATGTTATGGATGTTCTTTCAAAAGTTCAGGTGTCAAAATGAACGTAAATATTATATTATGTATTATTAAGTGTGAAATGCGAATGGATTCCATTTTAATGTATTTTTCTCCGACTGAGCAGTACATCTTCTTGCACTATTTCTATTTTATTTGTATTTACTTGCACTATTTTATCTGTTAGATTTGTTCTATGTCCTATATTCATGTTGCTCGGTTGGAGGAGCCTGGGACTTCAGATTTCCATTGACACATCTACACTGTAGCTAAAACATGACAATAAAGCCTTGAATCTTGAAAAATCACTTTCGTATTCCCTCCTAGTTTCCATCACAAGATTGAAGAATAGAGAAAGGGTCATCTGTCTTCTTTGTTTGGGGATTTAATCATCTGTTTCTAGTTATTAAAAGTACATTTGATTTACTGAAACACTTGTTCGACATTTCATTTTTTTCATCTATTCTTCTTTTTCACCTTTTTTCTGTTTATTGTGGAAAAAAAGTGTCGATTTTTAAAACTTTTTTCTACTGTCGTTTTTTTCACTTTTTCAACAGTTCTTCTCATTTTATTTATTTGTTGTCACTTTTTTGATGTGTTTTCCAACAGTATGAGTTCTTCTTCTCAAACGGTCATTAGTTCCACCATCTGCACCGGGGAAAAGCAGATGTGATTTACCGAGAAGTATTATCATGTCTTTACTCGGACTAAAGGAACATGTCGTCCTTCATAAGCAGATAAACGCTCACGCGAGCATCTGCAAAACGAAATGAAAGCCATAGTAAACATTTCCTAAATGTATGGTTGTCAGAGTTAAGTGCTTTGGCTTTTTTTAAAGTCCGGAAAAGTATCATTTTCTTAAAAGCCGACAACGTTTCCACCTGACTTCCAACACAGGTAATGGCTGGAGGTGTAAATCTGACTCAGCGCTGTTTAAAGAAGAAACTGGAATTAAAGCCGAACGCGACGGCAGATCCGGCTTCATTTAAAGTGGACCTATCATGCTGTATTGGAAACAGGGCCATACCTATACAAAACATGTCTGTGAAGTTTTTTGCTTAAAATCCCAAACAGATCACCCGTTGTAGCCATGCCAAGCCAAAGAGGAGGCGGAGCTAATGCCTGATCAGAATTCTACCGGAGATAAAGTAAAATTCTGCTGTGATAAAACGCCATCCTGTTCTAAACCACATCAAGGATTATTTCTGAAACAGTATGGAGCTCAAATGCGTTTTCTCTTGCGGGTTTATCACAAGGTGAGTTCTTT